TGTTCACGAAATAGTCTCGAATCCAGATTGCTCAGATGTGATGACGTTCACACAGTGGAAATATTAAGTCACCAACTTTAACAGTTTGAAATTGGTGGTAATGCTGTATGAGTGCAGTGGTAGAAATAAAGATCTATTTAAGATAAATGTGACTGGCTCACATACGGACTCAAAAGTTCATGAATTACTCAGAAATCTGAGGTCAAATAGAGATGAAATGTACGCCAATTTCATCTCGTCAAAAATGTTGATACGGTCACAATTGTACAAAGCATGCAGTGTTTTCACAAAGCTGTATGATGAACAGTCATTAGATCTCAATATCGTGTGATGCTAAATCATAACATACTCTTCGTAATTTTATCATTATTGCGAAGTAGATGAACAAGAAGAAGAAGACAAACGTCAGTTCACCTTACATAGGACACAAATATAACAATGTTTCAATATTATCAATGTTCAACTCAACTCTCACAAACATTGTATTAACTGAATTTTTGGCACTCATGCATAGTTCAGTTTACTTACTGGTGATTAATCTGAACCGATAACCCTTCTCTTGTTATTACCAGACAATGTCAATCATCGTTCAATTGGAAACTAATCTAATTCCAGACAGTGTCAACACGCGTTCACACCATTCTCTAATTCACTCACATATACAATGCCAAATATCACTGATTCTCTGTCACTAAACCAGTATGAGTAAAACTAACCATTTTATCAATTATTAACACTTCAATACCCGTAGTACGCATATCATGACAGATTTTAAGTGAACAGATGAGTTTGAATTCCCAACTCATATCTCAATTGAAAGTAGATCAGATACGTGAGTGACGTTCACACAATCGTTGGTAATTCTCAATGTGCTTATACAACATATTAGATGTCATTTAGTGATGAATGTTTCTTGTGTACTCGTTTGCTTGGAGGTAATAATAGTAACAGTTTGTCACAGATCGTCAAGTTCATTTCATATGCTGTAAGTATAAACGATCGATCAATCACTGTTCATTTTGCATGAAAGATCTGTGTTCATTTGTCTTCTATTTAATGAATGGACATAACATAATATTGAATAGATTTTGCACAATGCTGTCTTAATACTCACAACACAGTATATTATGATAATGCGCGTGAACTGTCCTCCATCTTAAATCCAATATTCCTCCATTGAGCAAACCGAATTACTGCCATTATATCAATTTGTCACAAGAATTTCAGTCGAAATTCGATAACCTATGTGCTATTTCATACAACACAGAAATTAGATAGTAATTGAGAAAGAATTCTATTTCACGATTAACTGCATACAAAGCACTGACCATTCCATCACTGTACAACAATTACAAATCATCAAACTGAATCACGAAGCAAGCACTAAGTGGGAATCCTGAAGGGGAACGGAACGTGGAAGTCCAAGGAACACACTGAGACGATTATTGGGAGCAGATATGAAAAGGATTACCCAGGACAGAGTTCGATGAAGAATGCTGGTGGGCGGCCTATGCTTCTCCACGAGGAGCAACAGGTGTAACTCTACATAATACCCAGACATTAGCATTTGAATTTATATCTAAAGGTATAATAATAGCTTCCTTCTTGATACCACTATGACCTTTCGAAGTGTTCATAGTAGTTAATGTAATTCCAAGAGCTAACCAGCTCGTATTCTGATAATCAAGTCCGAACCTGAACTGAAAACAGAGAATAGAACGAACTCAAAGATATGTAATATATTGAAACTATGTAGTTAAGTATGTAAAAAACAATTATTAAATTGTACAAGTACCACTGATGAGAGAATTTTCAAGTATCCGAAGGGATGTAATTGTCGATAAAGCGTACGAACGACAGAACTGACTTCGTTTCATAAACAAACTTTAGCGAATCAGTCCAGTCTCAAAAATTTATTTGCTTAGTGATTTCTATACAAAGCGGATTTAGAATAAAATGATTTCGCTTTACATGAACTAAAAATGTTGTAAGTAGGTACTGGATTATACCAATTGATCTAAAAGACAGTCTCTTTATTACTTTGAAAAAGAATAGATTTATTTCTACAATGTTCATGCCAAAAATGTTTAAACACTTACTGAGAAATTATTTGTGGAAATGATTGATATTCAAGTAACTATATTCAGCATAACTAATTAGGGGTTTGGTTTTTGGCACAATTTCAAATATTTGAGTTCTATTTCAATTACATTATATATACATAATGCGATCAACAAATCTATTACAATCATAGCTGAATCTGACTCCCATTTCTCTTCATCTCTATTAATTTCATTTACTTCCTGGATTAATACTGTTTTACGACCGAATGCGATTAACAACTTCAGATCAAAAAGTCGTACCTGATCAAATAGTTAGTTGAAAATCAATACAGCTTATTTATTTTACACTTTGAAACGATATAATTTGTATGGATTTATAAAATAAGAAAGAATATTGTATACGTTACCAAGGCGCACATGTAAACAAAAGAAAGTAGTACCCATAAACTCAGTAAAAATAATAACTTTATCTGTACAATCAAGATTATATAAAATAAAAATAATAAATATTATACAAAAGATACATTTGATATACATACAATGAAGAAAAATAAATTATTGAATTAAATGAGAAACTAAATTTTTCATTCTATTAATGATGGTTGTATAGAAAAGGAGTATTTCTCTTTCAGCAACAGCATTACACCTGACGGTCAGATAACGAAGACTTCAAACATCAGTCACTAAATAATAAAGATAACTGAAGTTTTAAAAAAAAGGGAACATCAGTTAGCTGTTGACAATTAAATATCACAATATGCATGACACATTATAAAATTAAGGGATATTATGAACCGTTGAACAATCAATTGAATGGAATTCATCGCTCTACATCAACTTCATTGACTACGAAAAGGCATTTGATAGCGTGGACAGAACAACACAATGGAAGCTTCTTCGATACTACGGCGTGCCTCAGAAGATAGTCAATATCATACAGAATTCCTATGATGGATTAAACTGCAAAATCGTGCATGGAGGACAATTGGCAAAGTCGTTCGAAGTGAAGACCGGTGTTAGGCAAGGTTGCTTACTCTCACCCTTCCTCTTTCTCCTGGTGATCGACTGGATCATGAAGACATCAACATCTGAAGAGAAGCACGGGATACAGCGGACATCTATGAAGATGTAAAAACCTTTACATATCTGGGCAGCATCATTGATGAACAAGGTGGATCTGATGCAGATGTGAAGGCGCGGATCAGCAAAGCAAGAACAGCATATTTACAACTGAAGAACGTCTGGAACTCAAACAACACAACTCAACCAACACCAAGGTCAGGATTTTCAATACAAATGTCAAGACAGTTCTACTGTATGGGGCAGAAACCTAGAGAACTACGAAAGTTATCATCCAGAAGATACAAGTGTTTATTAACAGTTGTCTACGCAAAACACTTCCGATCCGTTGGCCGGACACTATTAGCAACAACCTACTGTGGGAAAGAACAAACCAGACCCCAGTGGAGGAAGAAATCAGGAAGAAGAGCTGGAAGTGGATAGGACACACATTGAGGAATTGGATGGAACTAGAAAGGAAGGCCCAGTACAGAGTGGGTTGGAGAATGCTGGTCGGCGGCCTATGCTCCATTAGGAGTAACAGGCGTAAGTAAGTAAGTATGAACCGTTGAGATAACGTGAAATATAGGTTATACAGTAAAAACAATACAACTATAAATAGATTTCACCTCCAAATTGTTCAAAATCAATAATTAATAAGAGTGAAACAGTGAGTAATGACAAGTAAAAACCTTTAGGTTTAAAAGGTTACAGTTACATTTACTAGAAAGAACAGAAATGAGAAAACATTGATTCAATTGTAACATTCGTCTTTTAGCCATCTATTATGTGATATATAACTCAATAACAGTAAACCATCAATAGATAAATAGAATTTCTTAATATGGTCAGTGATATGATGAGAAGAAAAGTCAAGATTCGATTGATTTACTCATTATGAGTTTTGTTCAAGATTACTTCTGTTCTGCTTCAATGTGGTGATCATTCAGTGTAGCAGTTGTTTTGTCTTCTCGTATGATATTTTATTCTGTATATTCAATTGATATGAACTATGCTCAGTCTGTGATTTGTTATTTTTCATATATATGATTTCATCCTAATTATTAGTCAAAGTGTGTGTACAATCAATATATAAATGAGTGTATTTTCGACTAGGGTCGTCGTCGTCGTTGTCGTAGTTGTCGTGTTTCGAGGATTAATAAAGCTTCACGTATACCAGTCTTTATGTTCTTACTTTCACGTCGTGGGAATTGCGGAGGTCCCTCGTTCCGAGTATAAGTGATAAGTGTTTCCGACACATCAATCAGCGACAACCGGATATAACAATTAGCATTCAATTGACAAGTTATAACAGTCAGTCAGCTAGTTAGAAATGTTGTCTCTTTAAATCTTTTTAATTGAGATGAGATTTTGGCGTAATTCTTCAGTTCACTGTTGTATAAAACAACAATTCACCACATTGAAAATATAATCCTTATAAATAAAGCAACTTAACAATTAGTCTAACGAGACTAACACTTGAAGTTAAAAATAATAAAAGGATGTTTTCGAAGTTTATCATCAAGACATTCGAAAACTTTTCATAAATCCTATAAATATTTATTTAATTAGTGTTTCAGTCAAACTTTTGCTTTTTAGCATTCATTTTCAAAATACTTTAGATAGCACTATCATGAAAAATGACAGGATTGATGCTACAGAGAATTGTTTTGCATTTAAAATTTGAAACGGATTAGTTTAACAAGAAATAATTAACAGTGTATCAACCAGCTAAAATACTGTAATATCGGTCATACCGATATACTATTTTCACACATCACATTTAACAATGACCATTTACACATCTAAGTTAATTTCAATTACCTTCGCATATAAGATTCTTTCAGTCGACATCCTTCAATAGATTATATAATCGTTCTAAACAGATGAAAATTCTTCTCCTAAAAAGAATTGGTTTTTAAAGTAAATCACCACAGATAAGATTTAAGATTAACAGAAATATGGAACACATACAATACATCAACTCCGCCTGTAGCTCTTCTAGGACTACTGCGTGCCCAAGCCCACACAAAGGAGGAGGGTTGGGCGTGGGGTCTGCAAACCGATCCCATACAAAACAACCTTGTTAAAAGAACGCTAAACAGAATAAACTATTTAAACCATTTAAACTCTGTCCTCTGAGTTGAATAAAGAATTATAATGCTTCATGGGCTTCATGAGGCCTATGCCCCTCCTAACAACCAGAGCAACAATTAACGTGGGTACATGGGATATCCGGACAATGTAAGAGGCCGGGAGGACCAGTCAAATAGCTACGAAAATGAGGAGATACAACGTGGAGATCCTCAGAATCAACGAAACCCATTGGACTCAAGCAGGACAAAAAAGACAGATTTGGGAGAAGTGCTGCTGTACTCTGGTCAAGAAGAGGAAAGTGCTCCACACACTTAGGGAGTTGCTCTGATATTGTCCGAAGAAGCACGAAATCCATTTATAGGATGTGAATCTCATGGTTTCAGGATCATCAAAAAATCCCTCCAAACATAGTAGTAGGGAATCATAATGAATTTTACCCATTATTATACACTCACCAGTGATAGCAACGACAACGATAAAGATCAGTTTTACGAGAGGCTGCAATCAATCATAGCGACCTGACAATCCTGATGGGAGACCTAAACGCCAAAGTCGAAATGGACAACACCAGGTATAAAGATATCATGGACTAAGAGAAAGGAACGAGAATGGTCAGAGACTCGCTAATCTATGTGCAATCAACAAAATGGTTATAGGCGGCACTATATTCCCACATAAACACATACGCAAAGCTGCATGGATCTCACTGAACCACACCACGCAGAACCAAATAGATCATATTTGCATCAGTAAAAAAAATTCAGGTCAATGGAAGACATTAAAATCAGAAGAGCGGGATCGTGGATGCGCACTGCTGAGGAGTCCCACAACAAGATGAAACGGCCGTCCAGTGCTTCTAGGTTTTCAATGGTGATCTAACATCAATCAGTTCATGATCTCATTCTAGATTCCGTTGCTAACCACCTCTTATCTATATTACATAAATCTCTTACAAAAACAAAATAATATTTGATATTTTACTCAATCATAACCTTTATAAACCATTATAACATATTTATTCAATTTACTTCTTTTTGAATATTTTCTACTGCATTGTTCACAACCAAACCTCACCCCTAAAAGTATATTTTATTGCAAAAGGAAAAATAATAACTATTAAGTTTGGTGGAATAATAAATCAATTTATTTCTATTCCCAGTCATAGTAAAATAAGCCTATGATGATTCTGGGACACATATCATCTGAAAAATGTGATAAACATTCACTGGAACATTCACTTGGTGTTGTTTTTTACTTGAATCTTCCTATTGTAATTTAGGACTGTAATTGATCAGTCTCTTGTTGGCATGTGCATTCTGTGCAGATTGCCTTGATATTGCCTTAAGTTACAAGCTTTTTAAGCAAAGATGGTTAGTGGCTAAAAGTAGAATCTAGGACGAAACGCGCGTCCTAGGCTCCACTGCTAGCCACTATCCATCTTTGCTTATTCACTGGAACATTTATGAGGACAGTCAACATTAGTGACTATGGATCTAAGATGAAATATCTAAGAATTGCAGTTAGTAGAATGTTAAATGTGTTTATTACTACTAAATCAAATGTTGTTACATTTTCATTTAACGCTAATCACAACAATCACCAATCGATGTTGCTATTCGTGCACGTCATATGAGTAAAATTGAGTAATACTCCTTGATAACATTTCACAAAACAAACAATTAATCATTCAAGAAGATAATCCAAACAGAAATGTAATAATTTATGAGACTTTAAAATTTATATAATGTGCTTGAATTAATAGTGTCGATCACTGAGTTGAATATGTGATCCAATAGATGAATTCAGAATGTTTTACGCAATAAATGATAGTTTCATAATTCTTCAAGCTAAACGATTCAATGGAACAGCACTGAATAAAGGCAATAAATTAATTATTTCATATACAAAAGTGATTTAAATGAAAAGTATAAGTTAACTTATGATGAAAGTGTAATCCAGCATATAATTGCATGATGAAATATGATTATCATCATCAAAACTCACCTGGATGGACCCTTTTCAGGTGTTCCTTTAAGTTGGATTTAGATGAAAACCTTTTATTACATTGATCGCATCGATATACTATTCCTAATGAAAAGATAATCGTTAATATTAGTGAATTTACTTAAACAAACTTAATATCAATATTTAAAGTGATGTTGATATAGTAAGCGAGTCAGACGTGACCAAACGTGAAGATTACACGATGACGATCAGAAGTGACCTGAAGGACAAGTGCATATAGCGGCTAAGAAAACGATTGATTTTTTAAAGGGTAGAGGCGCATATATATAAATGAGTATTCATGTATATTGTTCGGTAGCTTAATATACCTTATGGGCCACTCTTGTGTTCTCGCTTAAGTAGTGAGGTGGGGGGTTAGAGAGTAGGATATCGTGCATCTATATCAGATTTCGGACACTTCCCATCATAACATATATAATATTGGTTTACAAACTACACATATATGATTTAAATAAATATATTGATAAATGAAAAACCTTATATGTAACTTAATGTATGAAAAATGAAGACACTCAGAGAGATTGACAGTTCAGCACTATAAGAAATAAGTAAGCATTACGATAAAATAACTTGTATTCCACTATTTCTTATCCAAACTCTACAATCTGAAAATAAGGTCGCATAATCATCAATCAATACAAACCTGAAAAAATGTAAACTTTTAGGGTGTCATATCACAATAACTTGAATTCATTAAGTTATTGTATTTATTTATTTATTTTAACACATAGATATTGGTACAAGAAGGCACCAAATACATATGCGCCACACAAATCTTATTCGATATGTGTGAGGGCTGTGATAGTGCCCGGGTGCCCAAACCGAAGCAGGTGGTTTTCTTAGGGGGCCACTCCTCGAGCCTTTGACCTAAAGGTCTAACCCACAAGGCAGTGGAGCATCGTAAGGAGATGCAGTCCGATGGTAGCCGGTGACCAACGATTGGTTCATACGTCATTTGTTCCCGCAGGATACTGGAGTCCATGTGCACCATCAGTTTGGGATCCGGTTAAAGCGCCGTACATTCGCTTTTCGTCCTCTGATTTTTGTAAATAACACCCCCGCCACGAGAAGGCAGTGAGTAGGACTTCCCTGGTGGAGGCTATATACGCGTGGCCATATGAGAGCATTTCGAGAGGGAGAGCGGACTTTCCCCACTCTCGGCCGTACCAGGGCATTTGGGGGCAAGTTATTGTATGAGGTAATTTCTTAACTTTTCAGTAAGAAATAATAACCAGAAATTTTGTATCATATCAAAATTGAAACAGTTTATGAATGATTATCGTGCAATATTACAACTGTACTGAAATTGGAAATATCAACCAATGGTTCTTACATTCAGTATTTAACAAATACTGTCCTCATCACGAAATCTAAAATTCCTTTATCTTAATATAACGCAATTTATTTGACACGATAAATATAATACATGAAAATGTGAATGATAAAAAAATGGGCGAGACTATAATTTACGAACGAACCAATCAGATCTACGATAACACGTCTGAGATTTTGGCGCGAAATTCATTCACCTTTTTGGCTAAATAGTGTCTTGAAATTGTAGCTGATATCAGTTCGTGATGAAAACCCTAAATCTAAGTCTTAACCCTAACCATCAACTGTAAATTATAATCCTTATTCTTTAAACTGCTTTATAACCCTCATTTAGCTCTAGTAAGTAGATAGACACTCTCAAGGTCACTTTAGTGTCACTCAAAGGTTGTCCATAAATTATAGTTTCACCAAAAAATGTTTGGAAATCTTATATTTTATACTATAGAACACCATTTCATTACTTATTAATTAATGAAATCGATGAAAATTATCATACATTTAAATAGAAAGAAAATGTGAAAACGTTTTAAATGTAAAATGAGAACATCATAACTCACCTTCATGAATAACTTTTACATGTTCATTTAAATCAGAGTTTGTTTTAAACTTTCGATCACAATGATTACATGTATATCTCATTCCTGATGATGAAGAAAAAAAAAACAGTGTGATAACTACTAACAATATTCAACGTATTTGTATAAATTCAATAATCAGTATTATTTTAGGTTATATATAAGTGGATTAAATTGTTTTTAAGAAAAATATTAACTGAATAAAAGGCTATATGGAAAACTAGAACCATTCAAGTAGACCTTAATTCAATGAGTATTATATAAGGGATGAAGACAATCATAATGAAGTACTTTGACAATACAACAAAAGCTTCAATATCTATTTCATGAATCAAAAAGAAAAATAGAAAACAACCAACACTGATCACTTTCATACACTATATTACATCTGTTTAACCATACAAAAATGTTGAACATTAACAACAGGAGAATATGATTGGAAACCCTAAGATCTAAAACGTATAAAAGTTATATTGCTGTTGGAAAGATCTAAAGTATTCATTGAAAAAAAGTCTAGATGGGCGTTAAAAACACTGGAAAACATTTTACCTAATCAGCGTTGAACTGAAGTTACTGAAAAACATGTAGAAAGTGAGAAGTCACGAGTTACATTCCTGATTGAATGATTACCTATCCTGTTACCATGTTTAGTACGGTTTCAGGACCTTCCAGAAGCCCAAGGCCGTCTGAAATACTATAAACACCCTCGATTTTCTGTACATAAACTAACCTCGGAGTACAGTGTTTTTGTACACTTCTCTCCTTTTCGAACCCGAGGTTATTAGAAAAGCTTAGGAAACTGATGCAAGAGTTCACTTAGAAGACTTATCAATTGTCAAGGATGATTTATGTACAATCTCACCATTCATTGTCATACCTACTTTTCATTCAGACACTAATAAAATTCATCTTTTACAGTGTACTTTGACACATTATTCACTTAAATGAAATGGTTTTATCATGTAGTTGCTTCCAAAAGAAAATTGTTTCCAGGATTCTCTATTATTTAATGAAACCTTCGAATAGGACCAACATTAATACATATGTACGCAAGGTGAACACGAAAAAAAATTACATAAAAACTAACCTTCATGAATACTCCTGTGATGTCTATTTAGATTTCCTTTAAAAGCAAACTCTTTGTTACATACATTACAAGTAAATTTCAAACCTAGTGAAAGAAATAATAAGAATTTATAAAACAAGAAAACAAACCATTTGATAAATGATTATAGATTGTCACTATATAAAAAAATATGCTAAATATACACATCATATATCACACAATTGTTCTACAATGAAGCTGCTGAGAAACTAGCACAGTAATCACTATTCAACAGTCTCTGATATCGACCGAACAACTTAAAAATGTCTACAGATTAAATGCAGCATATATACACATGTATAAATTTCATAAATCCTTATTGATACCAGTTGTCACAATTAATAAAGGTAAAAATATCAACAATTAATCACTTCATAGGTCATGATAATAATAATAATGTATTTTAAATAAAACAATTAAACAGTTAACCAAAATCAGAAAACACCTTAACTCAGTGTTTAGTCAAAAAGGGGTTTGATAAATAAGGGCTCACTAACAAAAACAACTAATACTTCACGATTTGTCAACACTTGTGGTATTTAAATTATACCACGGGTAAACCTGACAAGAAAATTGTATGATATCGTTTACACTATGAAAGCTAGAAGTCCCGTATTCTATGATAACATATATCACTTAACACTTTTTACCATGGTACATTAATTGTGAACAAGAAAAATGATTCAAAATTTGAGTGTTTTACACACGAAAATCGCTACTTCATAGTTAACAAAGAAATAAAATTGTATAAAGCATTTGGATTTTTATAAAAGTAAACGTGAAATTTAATTATGAGTATAGGGTTGTGGAAACTGTTGGATTTTTATTGAGATCATGAACCGATCAATTCCAGGCCATCACTGAAAACCTGGAAGCACTGGACGGCCGTTTCATCCCAGTGTGGGACTCCTCAACGGTGTGCATCCACGATCCCACAAGCGAGACTCAGACCCAAGACCTTCGGTCTCGTACGAACGAATAACCTTTAAGACCACTGAGCTTAGATCCAACGGTGTTAATGCATAACTTCGATCAATCTACGATATTGCATAATCTACCACAGACAATGGAAAATAGTCGCGCAATACCGTTGATTGGTTGAAGTTAGACATTAACAACGTTGGATCCTAGAGCACTGGTCGTGAAATTTAATGTTTGTTTACATGTAAAATAATGTGATTCAATATGAAATAATGAGAATGTATACAGTAAATCAGTTTCATAGTAGTGCAAATCATTATCCGCCACCAAAACTCACGTTTATGAGTACCTTTTACAGGCATATTTAAACTGCATCTAGATGCAAATTGTTTACCACACTGATAACATGGATAGTTTTTTCCTAATAATAATCAGAAGAAAAAACAGTTATTTAACACTAGTAAATGTTTTAAAAGCGAATTTAATATGACAATCTGAAGTTATTTAGTAATGGCATACAACAATACAAATGTAATTTTGATAAGTTTGGTAGATGAACACTAATTTCGATTTTCTAGCCGCTTCTAATAACTCTAAACTAAATCTACAAGGCCAATCGACAACAAGAGAAAAGGTGCAAAATGAGAAGAGAACGCTTCCGTCTAAGGTTAGTTTATGTGCTGAAAAACGATGTTAATTATAGAGATACACAAAACCTTGGGTGCTTCTGGAAGTCTTTGGAACCATGTTGTGGGTAGTAGCAGTAAATTCAAATATCCAAGCAGAAACGTGACTTTACTTTTTAGATATTTCTGAGCTTCTACTCGGATAGTGTTTCCAAGAGCTTTCTAGACCCCTATAGACTTTTCCAAGGAATACTTATGAACTCACCAACAAGTTTAAATAAGCATGTCAATTTCACAACAGAAAAATTATGAGTAGACTTGAAGTTATACTTATTATGTAGGGAACAGACCCAAATAAAGCATAATGTGCGCAGATCGAGAAATAAAGACCGCTAAGAAAAACTATGAGCGAGTAGAGAAGGAAGCATTGGCTAATGCATTCGCAATAAAAATGTTTCATAAAATGTTGTATGGTCGAATTAAGAGCTCTAAAACTCATATTCTGAATGGTAAACTCCATAGGACACTGGCAACTATTTAAATATCAACATATCTTCCAGTTTGGTTAGTGATAGAAAAGTCTGTTTTGAAGAAGTTCGGGTTTTTTTCAAACACTAGTAAATATGACAATCATCGCCATCGGCAAGCAACTTGAATCACATATTCACTAACAACCACTGGATTTTGGCGACGATAAACAACAAAAGACAGTTATTACAACTAATCAAGGAAACAAGAATCAAAAACCAAGTTGTTACTGAAACTATTCAGTTCAGCTGGTATCCCGACACCCACTACCTCCAAGCAACTTGAATAATAAAGTGACTCAACCTCGACAACTGCAGAGCGATCTTCATACGTCGGTGGTGCTTTTATTAACGGAAGATACTAAATGTCCGACGGTGAAACCGAGCCGACAGATACAAACAGTTTATCTGAGGCAACAGAAACACTATCATTTCAAACTAGGGGCACAAATCGGCACTAGAATCTTAGAACAATCAATGGTGCATGAACATAATGAAGTCACTCGTTCTCGCGATAGACGAGGTTGTAACGCTGCTTTACTGCCTTAAAGAGTTATCCAACCTCAACTTGATGAGGCCACAGTATATAACCATGCGTAAGACTGCTTTCACCGACACGATGTAAACAACATTCTTTTACAGCCAAATCAACACGACGGTGCTAAAGATGGGTCATATTGATATTCATCACTCTGGCTTTCCCTATGGGTAAATTTATCTCCTTTTACCACGGCACCAACAGTATTCACAGAAGTACACAGATACAAAAACCTATTCACTATTTCCAATGCCTCACCACAAACAGTGAGGCCACGCACAACCTCCAGTTAGTCTTCAGAAATATTTTGCATTTAGGTGTAAAGTATATGTCACACCTAAATACACTGATTACCAACCGATTAAAAGAGATATACTTCGGCTTTTTATAATTACACAGTAAGAAGATGGTCATCCACATGCTCAAGACCGGAAATAGATGATCTAGATCATTACTTAGCCCCTTTAGAGGCATTTCCAGAATATCATCGATGAAAAAGTTAGAGAGGAGTGGTGAAATTGGGCAACCCTGTCTAAGGTCACAAAGTTTTATTAAAAGTTTACGAAATGTTGAAAATGACTTAATTTTAAATTAGGCATTGAATGTGACATGATAAAACGTATACAGCACACAACTAAGTAGTGAAATACCATTATCATTAGCATAACTCACCCTCATGGATCACTTTCATATGTTCAATTAAATAAAATTTAGATGTAAACTCTCCACTACACTGATTACACACATATTTCAATCCTGACAAGAACTCCATTTTACTTGTTGAAATCTTACATTATTGAACATGAACACATCAAATTGAACAGACCACAATGCAAATACGACATATCTCACAAACACTCACACAAGAATGCGTTCAAATACGTCTTAATTAGGATCAATTTTCTCCTGAATGACGTAAAATCAGTAGAGACATCTATGTTAGTGTTAAATGTTTAATTTATTTCACTGTACTATATAAACCTCAGCTGACCTGATTCGGTTATCAGTTAAGTGACGAAGCAACCAACACCAAGTCACGAAGCGTCAAACACTCAGTTTTATACTCTGCAGTAACAAATCATTGGCCAGTGAGCGCAGACAAATAACAAGTAGACGTAACAAAAGAATGTTCCACTTCTAAAACTTATCCACTTAAGATGTCTACTTGGATTTCAAGCAATGACAGTTTGTAATTCGAGTGAATGAATAATTTTTCTGGCCTATAATTCGGCTCTTAATCGTTCAGTCGGATAGCATGTAGTCTAAGTATTACGTCATCTGAACGAATAATTTAATCATGCAGTGTATCCGACCTGTGAGCAGTATATTACCCGGTCTAGTGTTAGTATATATATATATATATATATATATATGCAAGTCAAAGATCATTATCACCATCATAACTCACTTTCATGAATAGATTTCACATGTTTATTTAGATGAGATTTACTTGTAAACGTTTTATCACATTGAACACATGGATATCTTATTCCTAATAAAAAAAAATCATTATTATTGTTGTTATCGATAAATGTACTTATACAAATTTAATATAGCTCTAATGCACCCTGAATTGAGTAACCAACAAATCATTTATGGTGTATTGCAGTTCTTATCTTGATCCGCATGATAACATTACTTTTGATTCCTAGTTCAAACATTATGAAAACTTATTTTGTGATAGATTAGCTAATCAAGTTGATACATAGAGGATAACAAAATTGAAGCACGAACTTCGTATCTGTGATCATGTAGAGTGACCAAATCTTATATCAGCATGGTATCTGTGTTATCGTAATCTTAAAAACACTGGTACAGACACACATACGACATGAATAATAACACTTGAAAACAAGAACTATAAACAGATAGAAAACGAAGCACTAAATAACATGTTTTTGATCAGAAAGGTTCATAAAATAGTATTTGGTCGATATTTTTGTATTTTCGGAAGTCACAAAGTCCGAACTAGCCATTTTTGGCTCCAAAAAACGAATTTCCCAACATTCAGTAAGCCAGTTACAAAGGTACACTACCTGTTTGATGGATCACAATATACATAGGATTTCCTCCAAGCGTACTATTTGTCACTTTTTTAGAGTACACATTCGAAGCTACCTAACAAACGTGTTTCGAGCTACAATAATCAAGACTGCATATAATAAAAGCGCGACAAGACTTGACATGACAATAAGTTATAAAATACATAAACCATAGATTGTAAACAAAACCACACACCGGTGAATCACATAACCTTTAACAAAAAAAACACGGTTTGTCCGTTATTGATTCACGGCTAAGGTTTACCAATCGAATGAAGATTCATCAAGGTGATAGCATAACGATAAGTAAACGGATCAGAATAGACCAAAAGATCATGAATTAAGCCAGACACTGCAGCCGATCTTATCGAGCTGGGAAGCATACTACAGAACTGACTTCACAACCAAGGATACAACCACAGACGCCGTGGTCACGTGTTCACACCGATTTTGAGAGTCAACTTAACAACATTAAGTAACTGATGCCAGTTGATGCAACCTAAAAATAGCCAGTAGCCATCGTCATGACTTATGCAATAACGTCTTTCCATAGTTAAGAAAGGAAGACGAGAAATTGCATGATGCATCGAACCATCAAGCCGGACTGGAGACCTCCCTTACTCTGAAGATGAATGTTATGTCGGTTACTGCTATGTCTGCGAAACGAACTAATATAACTTTTTGGGTTCGCCAATCAGAACTTCGGTCATAATCCTTTTCTACTCTGAGTATGCTATTCCACCCATAGCCTAGCGCGCTCAGTCTTAGTTAATGATAAGTTCTGATCGACACAATTAATCGTGAGCTAAAATAATTTCCGCCCCGAGTGCTTCCCCGACAAATATGCCATCTTCTATTCCTAGCCTTGAGTTAAAAAGAGAAGACTACAACCAAGCTCCTACTATTATCTTATTTCAACCATCCATCCCAGATTCTAGCCATAGCACTCATGAGATACCAGACATCGCACCATAAGACAGAAAATTACAGATATACACAAACAGGTCAAAAATGTCAGCGAAACGCGGGGTGCTTTAATAACTGGTCTGTAACAAATCGGGAATAATAAGACATTTAGTAATAGTTAATGACTCAAACGGAAGATTACAATAAACAGAATGTGGAAATATGTTAGTTCAGTTATTCACTAATTATACAGTAAAAGTATAAACAAACTAGTTTCAAAGGTTCTAACTTTCTCAATACATGTTTCGAAATTTAGAAAACAACATTAAGTAAAATCTTTACAATTCGACCAGTAAAAATTCTGATGAAATGAAATTCAAGAGACAATAGCGTATTGGGAAATGTATTATTTCTTAATATTTCTATCAATCAAAAAACGATTTTTTTATTAATAGCCTGTTCGGATTTTAAACTGTGCGAGTATCATCGAGTCAGGCTTCAAAAAACTAGTATCACAATTAGAGGATTCTCAAGGACACTCTTAAACACGTACAAACTCTCGCCCACTCAGTTGACCATTAAGAAAAGGTTCATTTTGAGAAAGCTCGATATGATACCAATCAAAACAATAGCAAATACTCCAGTGATCTTCACCAGCAACTTGAATCACAAGGTGACAAAAATACCGGTGGATTTCGGTGGCATCCACATTATTGATAGATACCCGAAAACATATCTTTTTAGACTCAGAGAACGATGAAAAACGAAGACGACTCTAAGGTAGACTAACGAAAATTGTACGCAGTGACTGCAAGCAATGCTGAATGACAAAAGTAAAAGAGATAAAAAAAGGCAGTGGGGATAAGTGACCTAACACATTAAAAAAACAGTAATTGAAGTGCCAGTTGTAAGATTACATCAGATATCAATGGAGCTGCAACAAACCTAAATGATATAAACATAATGGAAAGGTCGAAAATTGACTTGAGAGAACGAATTTCAGTGATTTTTAAAAAATGGAGAACATCGGATACTGCTACACCTAGAGAAGTGCCAACTTCTCATACATTCAATCAAGTAATTTATGTTCCATTAACAGGGCTACTGCTTCGATCGAGGAAATATTTAAGCCATTCAAAAAGTGTATCCAACAAGAAATATTACATCACTGTGAGCATTCCTTGGAATGATAATTCATTAGTTTTTGTTTCTGCACATGATGAATACGCTACATTAAAACAATTATTAAAATAGAGTACTCAGTGACATTAGTCACTAGAATCTGAACAACTGAAATGATAACCATTAAACGTTTACGACATAAACCATGAAACTAATGAAGCCTAGACGTACTGGATTCGATCTTATATGAACTTGTGTGAATGTACAGTAAAGAACACATAAAATGTAAACAAACAATGATCTACTACGCTTCACGGTTCCCAGTGATCTTCCAATTGATATCAGTCTCGATTAGAAACCTAATACAATCGAACAGGACGATCTCCACAAATCCCGTATCCCTACACAACATATTTAGTCTGGATTAACACATATTGCAAAGTACATGGAAATATAATTGAATATAAACGTAAAAATGATTTCAGTAAAAAAAATGCTTGTTTAACAATGATTTGATGAGAATATACGGCATACAGTTTCAAAGTTAAATATCATTACTATCAACACAACTCACGATTATGAAAAACTTGAATATGTTGAGTCAAGTTGGATTTACAAGCAAACTTTCTATCACATTGACCACAAGGATAATTTATTCCTAGAATAAAAAGATAATTATTATAGGTGGTAAACTTAACTAACATAAATTCAACATCAATATGTAGGATCATATAAGAAAGGTTTACAGTACATTTTATTTAAATATGTCCATTTCACAAGAGAAAGAATACGAACGAACGAACAACCGCTAGTGTAGTAGACTTTTAATCATACTGATTGTATAGGTAGTGAAAACTCACACGGTGATTGAAAGTTAAGTACGTTAACAAGACAATTAGAGCCACATCCTCCAAATGACTCATACAGAAACGTAACGTCAAAGATTAATATTTTCTACACATTACAACATAACTGAGTGATAGCTCAACAGCGCATGCCACCAAACGCCCTGGTACGGCTGAGGGTGGGAAGAGCCCGCTCTCTCTCTCTCTCCCTCCAAATGTTCTCCCATGGCCACGCTAATACAGCCAGTACCACGAATTCCTACACACTACCTTTTCGCGACAGGGGTTTGCTTGCGAAATTGACAAGACGAAAAGCGGATGTCCGCGTCCACCTACCTAGGGGAGTTGCCAAAAACTGATTCTAAACCAATCGTGCACATAGGCTCCAGGATCGCGAGGAAACAAATGGCGTATGAACCAAGCGTCGGTCACAGGCTACCATGGGACTACATCACCTGACGTCGCTCTACTGCCTTGTAGGTCAGACCTTTAAGTCGAAGGCTCCGGGAGTGGTTCCCTAAGAAAACCACCTGCTTCAGTCTCGGCACCAGAGCAGCATCACAGCCCATAAATCAAGTGACTTGTGTGGTGCATATGTATTCGGTGCCCCTTTGTACCGATATTTATGTGTTCAAATAAATTAATTACCTGTAATAGCTTGTGGCCTGTGTGCCCTGTTAATGTATAACGTAGTGATACCGCCAATTAGAAAGCAGTGACTTATCGATCGGATCAATGACGCGGAAACCCGTATGAGAAGTCTACAGTCCTTATTGGTCCCGCTTCCTGGCTAACCCAGTCAGCTAAGTCCAGAACACCAATCTCAGCCTCTGCAATATCAATCATTTATTTCAAACAAACTCGGTTTATATACCAACCAGACAGACAACATCGTACTATAACATAGGAAACAACATTTGTACAAGATTTAGCCAAATGTGGCTGTGAATGTGGGAGGTAGTGAGTGATTAATAGACAGGGCATAATTCAAGAATGGTGAATTGTATAATAATAGTTCATAGGTCAAAATAAATCTCATAATAAGAGGGACATGAATATGAATAGTTTAGTTATTTAACAATCATACGATAAAAATATACGCATAGTGATGGTCCATAAATGGATCCCAAAAGCTACCATTCATTATTCTTATCGGGACATAACATTAACTAACAGTGCAAACTATTTAGACTATAAAAACAGGAAAATATTATTTAAAACTCGAGACTCAAAGACCTCAAAATGTTTATTGATCAATGCATGCATGTATCAGCTAGGATACTGCCGGTATCCGCAAAGTGAATCAGGTGATTTGCTCAGACCACCACTCTCTGCATCCTTGACATAAAGCGTCTACTCGGCAAGACAGAGAAGCAACATCAGAAGATACAATCTCACAATAACGAGTGATCAGAAAACATACTTACGTTCGTTCTCTCATGATCCTAACGATAGTACATACCATCCTTTTTAGATAAGTGTTTTCCAACATTAGGTGAACCCTTTGAAAATATAAACCAGATAAGAGTGCCAGACGCTCACTCTTCGTTCACTTATTTTCCTAAAATCACCTTACAATGTAATGACAATCAACAGTACTTTCGTAAAGCAGTCAACTTCCCTTCAACCGTACCACATTAATCTGTTACTATAAACTGAACATGTTATTTTATGTCGACTGAAATTTCTAATCATTTTGGCTTTTTTAAAAAACAGAAAATCCCAAATGCACATCTAACGAAATACATTTAATGATTTATTATTCTCCGAAACCATTAACTCATCAACTCACCAATTTCTAATCATGTCTTTACATTGTAATCTATCTGTATTCACAAGCAAATGTTGTATTAGGTAAACAATAAATAATCAATTGTTTGTGTATTTGAACGAAATTCACTGATATGCTTGAATGTTATTACGAGTTCACCTTAATCGGCAAGCGGAACGAAGGTCAAAGATACAGTGACACGATAGGCTATACTAATCCATTGTTTCCGACCCTGCTAACTAGATCAAGAAGTCTTGATGAGGCGTAGAGAATGTATTCTACAAGCACCCAGAAAATACGAGGTCCTAAGCACACAAATCAAGTTTAGTTATAAAGTGATAGAAACGCCTTTGGGAAAGCCACAAAACAGCGTACTAAAAAATCCGTCAACCAATGACAGTCAAGGATTTCCGAGTGGGAAATGTAAGCTGTAGGTCAACTAAGAGTCTCTTGGAGCGAAAACATAAAATTCAAATTTTCAGAATAAAATTACAAGATAAGGACCTTTTCCAAGTGAATTCTGGGGATCTAACGTCCTCAACACACCTCCCCTTTTCAATAGCGTACTTTTCTGGGGTCAACTTGCATCTTGACTGCTGTTCACAGCTGTCGGAGAGGCCAACTTCTGGAGCGGAGATCAGCTTGTAATTGGGCTTTTTCTCGTGGTGGGGCTATCAGAGGGTTGAAGGTATCAAGCAGGATGTTCATGGGCAGTCTGGAGCTAACCGTTTGAGCATCTGATTCCAATGGCGTGACCATCTATCGCTTCCTACCTCTACTTCGTACATGACACGGCCTATTCTTCTGACTACTCGCGCTTCTGTCCATGGACCATGGGTTGTTCTGTAGTCACGGGCAAACACAGGACATCCCACTTCGTATGTGGATTGCTTTTCAGACTTTTTCTGTACTGGTGTTGATGCATTACTCGGATGCATCGGGCCGTGGATCGTTATCAGTCTTCTTTCCATCAGGATTTCTGCTGGGGATTTTCGCTCCGTACCGTCTCATTTGGTGTTCTTCGATAAACGAACAAGAAATTTCGCAACGCGTCAGCTGGTGTTTCCTTCTCCTTCGACCTAACCAATGCTCTTTTAAACGCATCCACAAACCTTTCCACTTGCCCATTCGACTGCGGGTGGTATGGTGGCAAGTGTAAGTGCTTGATGGCTAGCCGTTGGCAGAAAGCTTGGAATTAGCTAGAGGTAAATTGCGACCCGTTGTCAGATACAATTACATCTGGTATACCATTTCGGGAGAACATTTCAGTAAGGGGCTGTATTGTTTTAGTTGTGGGCGGCATTACAAGGCTGATTTCTAGCCATTTTGAAAGGGCATCAACCACAACTAATGCATAGTTCCATTAAGTCGACGTGTATCCTGGACCAAGGATGATCAGGTTGTGGTCATGAAACTGGCGGGACTTTGGCATTCACTTTTGCCGTTTGCTGACACCGAATGCATTTTCCAACCAACTCAGTGATATGTTGATCCATTAGGGACAGTATGCATAACTCCTGGCTACGGATTTCATTCGTTTAACCCCCGAGTGACCAAAGTGGAACTGTTTCAGCACTTTTGCGCTAAGGGACTCTGGCACAACCATTCTTTCTCCAAAAATCAAGCAGTCGTTTACAATGCATAGTGAATCCCGCCACTGATAAAGTCGTTTCATGTCACCATCAAACTTCTTAGACGACCAACCGTTGGTGACATAGCTCATCGCAATCTTGATGATTGGGTCGTTCCTGGAAGCGTTTCGTGTGTCTATTGCAGACACCGGCAATGCCCATATTGTGGTTGTCAGATAACATTCCGCGTGGTCTACCGCTGACAGAGATGCGATCAACATGTTTTACTCAGCCGCCAAATGATGATTAATGAGTCGTGATAAAGCATGTGTCTGACCGAATTGTTGAGTGCGTCGGTATTGGATCTTGAAATCATACCTCGAAAGTACCAAGGCCCATCGCTGAAGACGATTTGTAGAATGGGCTGAAATGCCCGATTTCGACCGAATATTGAGAGCAGAGGCTTGTGACCTGTGAGAAGCGTAAACCTCCGACCGTACAGAAACTTGTGGAGACGTCGAACAGCAAACACAAGTGAAAGAGCCTCTTTTCCTCTCTGGCTGTATTTCTTTTCTGCTGGGGTTAGTGTACGGGATGTATGCATAACAGCTTTTTCTGACGCGTCTGGAAACTGATGTGAAATAACAGAACCTAGGCCATACGCTGAAGCGTCTGTATTTACATAGATCGGCATGGATGGATCGTAGTGCATTAACAACAATTCCGAGCTAATTATAGACTTGAGTTTACAAAACGCCGCATCCCACTCATTAGTCCAGTTCCAAGTGCTGTTCTTCGTCAGCAGACGATTCAATGGGGCGCGAATATCATGCATCGAAGGAACGAACGCTGAATAATAAGCAACAAGTCCCATGAAGGAACGTAGTGCCTAGACATTAGTGGGAGTGAGCATCAGTTTGATAGCTCGAGTGTTCTCAGGATCTAGTCTGCGGCCGTCAGCGTCAAAAATAAACCCCAAATAGTTTATTGACTGCAATAAAAACTGGCATTTCTCCTGACGTACCCGGAACCCGTTGACGCTGATGCGTAGCAGTAACAATGTCGTGCGTTCCTGTAGCTGTTCTAATGTCGTCGCAACAATTAAAATATCATCGAAATAAACCACGGCGCCGAAATACCTGATAGGATGGTATCCATTAGTTGCTGAAAGATAGATGGGGCAGTCTTGACTCCAAAAGGCAGATGGTTATACTAAAACAGCCCACAATGAGTATTGATAGTAAGCAACTCTCTTGATGCTTCACCTACTTCCACTTGCAACACAAAAGCCTTGTACTGCATATGGTAATTACCTTCGCTTGTTAGGACAATTGGAATGTAGAGTTACTTTCCGAGATTGGTCGTTTACTGGGGTATGTTATATAACGCCAGCTGATCTAAATTTACTTCGTTTAGATTGGTTCGACCAGCTAAACTTAGCTGATGTCCAGTTAAATACCAATATGCCACCTGGTATAACATCCACATGACCCTGAAGCATATACGAAGAAGCTAATGACACAGTTTTCATCTATTTTCTAACCTGGATTGGGTCGGTGTTCTGCCATGAAAGCAACGCTTCGGTTGAAACTTGGGGCTAAGCCTGTTTTCCGTCCAAAGAGACCCATGCCTTATGAAACATTACCAACAGTAGATGAAGAATCGAATCGCCTTCAACAACAAAGAGTTGTTACGCCCGTTTTTTACTCTGCTTGGGCAGCACCTATAGCTGTTATCAAGAAGGCCAACGGCACGATACGTATATGTGCTGACTTTTCTACAGGTCTCAATGCAGCTCTGGAACAGCATCATTATCCTTTGCCAGTTCCCGCAGATCTGTGTTACTATGCTGAATGTGTGAAAGTTTTTCGCAAAACTGGATCTAGCTGATGCTTATTTGCAAGTGGAGGTAGATGAAGCATCAAGAGAGCTGCTTACTATCAATACTCATCGTGGGTTGTTTCAGTATAACCGTCTGCCTTTTGGAGTTGTATTTATTAAAATGATTCGGTAATTTGAGTTTCTCATTAAATCATTAAACAAGTTTACTCACCACTCACTCGATGAATAAACTCAACAAACATGAAATAAGCGAGATGATTCCTAATTATCTGACATTTTATGGAAAAAATATTCCGAGTAGCAATATACTGAGAACAAATCAAAGATGATGGAGCACATTCATGAAGGCGAGAGCTAGTGAAAATTTACTAAAAGAAGACTAATGACTTGGATCTTCGTATTTTCAACTGCGTTCAACGTTAAAAACTCCGAAAAGGAATTAAAATAGGAACCCGAAACCACCACAGTACCACGAAATAAGTATTAAAATTATTTGAATGACATTTGCAACTAAATATCACATATTAAGAAGCTAAATTTACTATTTTCAACAGAAATGGTGCATGACATTAGTTCATATTTACAAAAGCAAACATAACAATTCTCATAAAGTTACAGACGTAATAACGCAGAAGACTATTGTTCAAAAATTTTATTTACTCAATATTTTAAGTGTTGTATTTCATTATTGGGGTTCAATAGGGGCCTATGGTACTTACTGATCAAGTGACAACAACTGGGTCCATTTAATAAGATCGGTTCTTTTCGAGATCGACAACAGCAATTTACACAAAACATTAACTAACACCCGATGGCTGACACAGGAATCAGATGAATTGTGTAGAACTTGATATTCGAGGTAGGACAAGCCGAACAAAATGAGTCGGCATAACTCTATACCTATAGTGACAAAACATGACCTCCAAGCATATAACAATTTCCAGTTTGGGGTTGTCGAGATTGTTGAATTTCAGTGAAATCATGGACCGATTAATGTTTGACCACCATTGAAAACCTGGAAGCACTGGACGGTCGTTTCATCCTAGTATGTTACTCCTCATGAGTGCACATCCACGATCCCGTGCGCCAGATTCAAACCCAGCATCCCCGGCCTTGTGCGCGCCCCAACTGGGAAGTATCATGTACTCAAAAGTGCCTAGTTTCGAGAGGAAATCCTCCGAGTTCTAGTTCAGAAGCTGTGACTAGTGGAGTCAAATCCGTGTCGGGTGAAAGGCAGTTACTCACCGAAGACAATTGAAAATGGTCGCAAACATCGTGAATTGAGTGAAGCTTAATAGTGACACCGTCGGACGACGGCTAAGTGGTTTAGAAGTTAGGCGTCCATGTGCGAGACGAGGGTTCTGAGTTTATATCCCGCGTGCAGAATCGTGGATGCGCGCTCTTGAGGAGTCCCATACCAGGACGAAACAGCCATCCAGTGCTTCCAGGTTTTCAATGGTGACCAAACATTGGTCAGTTCATGATTTCCATGAAATACAAAAATTTACCGAACTAAAAGCAATGACAACCAATAAGAAAAAGGCAAAGGTAATGAGAAAAACTGAATTAGAAGAAACGTGAGAGCAGTTATCGTTTCTGGAGGGATTTCAGCATTGTTGATAAAAATTTGAGTATTCTTGTGTTTTCCTTAGCAGTAAAATAACCCTATAATATATCCTTCACCAATAAATAATCAACAGAATAAATATAGACAGACAGAAACATTAATCTTCAGACAAAAACAACAATGAACAATCAAAATTGACTCAATACATGAAACAAACATATGAGGAAATGAAACACCACTCACCTTCATGAACAGTCTTAATATGGAGATGACGAGTAGTTTCTATTGAAAGATCCTTGTTGCGTAAATCATGCGACAATTTTATTGCTATGAACGTCAAAATGATTTAGTAAATAAATTGTAAGAATGGGCGGCTTAAAAGAACAGTAAAAAGAACAGAACCTCCTACCATCAACATTACTATCGAAATAAATTATCAAACTTTTTTTCGATTTGTTGGAGACGGCAATGAAACGCACACACTTAGATAACACGGATAGTTATGAAAACTGAAGCTAGCACAGATCGGTGAACAGGTTCTGTAAGGAATGTATATTTTCTGAAAACTGGTTACACCGTAGTATGTTACAATCATAAGTGTTCTGCTTGATATGAAGTAAATGTCAAGAGACAAACGGGTAAGGTGAGCATTACAATTAGAACTTGCACAGAAGAATAATTGACGTTACCCACCAAAACAGCCAATATTTTACAATTAAATCATCTTGTTTACAAAAGAATAAAACCTCAAAGAAAATCCAGTCAAGAAGTAGTTCAAGCTTATGGAATGGAGTATCTGATATAAATCCTAAATTACATCAGAAGGTAACAGGAAAATCTGGCAAACTTTGGAGCATAGTTAGAACTCTATCGCACTAGTGTATACTCCTACAACTTTCGTTTACTGAATAAGATTCAAAATTAGGTAAGCACTATCATTACCTCACATACACCAAACGTAAACATTCATCATTGGTCATAACATCAATACATGAGTCTGTAATACTAAACATTGAGCAAACACTGCTAACTACCATCGATCATTCCTCATAAAACTTGTGACTTAAGGCAATATCGAGGCAACCTGCACAGGATGCAAATATACCAACAAGAGACTGATCAATTGCAGTCCTACACAGTGATGGGAAGATACAAGCAACCAACACCAGCTAAATCTGACCGTTAAATATTTATTAATACTATTTCTTGACATGCACAATGAAAATTGAATTATATTTACACTTGTAACCGTAGATCATTTGAAGCTGAAAATAAGGAGAAATGGACGCCAACTCAATGGTTTGAAAGTACTGTGTTCACTGTGATACCTTCATGCATCGCTTATGTTCAATCTGTATAGAGCTATGAGTCCTCAATGAACAAGGGTCTCAAATTAATTCGGAACATATATATTCCTATCTGCTTGTCAATAGTTCTTCACAAATTGAGATAATGGTGAAAATAATATATTCGATCCTTAAGTTTTTCACAGAGTGCTTCGGTTAACATCAATCTACTACGATATTTTACGCAAAATGATGTTTACTCTCATTTATACAAGTTTAGTACATCGTTATCTAAACTATGTTGAGTCGATGGAGACGATTTGATACTACTGAAGCAAGAATAATGTGTATTAAATGAAACGTAAATAATTTTGATCCTTCAATAATGGCTCTATTTGTCAGAGAATATGGTGACCAATAAAATCAAATCTAAGGACTTTTTTCACAAAAGTCTTCAAAGAAGATGGACACAATAAATCACTAGTAAGATGGGATGTCGAAAATGAAAATTCCATCCACGAAATGGAAATATCTTACTTATTTGAAATCCTAACAGAAGTAGCAATAAAACTGTACCGTTAAACACGCCACATAGTACAACTAATCGAACAAACACTTCTTTAGATATATGCTTACTTTCAGATTTGTAGATAACGACAAATAAACCACGTCGAATAGGTGGGGGAAAAATTTAAGATGTATGCTTTTTCATGGGTGAGTTTGATTTGCAATCTCAATATATTAGAATAACGTAAGGCACCTACCCTTTGCAGAATTTTGTCGGATAGGGTTCTGATTTCTCCTGATAAAAACAACACCTTTATCTGTAACGAGATCGCCAACAACAGGAGCTTTATCGGAATCACATTCATCTACGAAAATCACGAAAGATTGTGGTTACGTAACTAAATAGTTAATAAACATGTTGCTAGATTTATATAACAAACATGTCATGAAAATGAAAACAAATACGCACAAATGTTTGATGTTTAGTGTCAATCATAATTACGCTACATGTAAAATTCACATATATAGCGACAAAGAGATTAGTAAAAACAGTCAGTCATTCAGCTACAACGTAGGACCAGGCACATATATGCATCGGTCCAGGTCGCCATACCGCAATAGCACAGCAAGGTGAACACCGGATTCACAGGAGTGGTTAGGTCAATGGTAGTAATATATAAAAGAAAGATTGCAATAAGGACATAGTACAGGAAGAAAGAATTAGTTCGTAGAAAGAATGATATGAGCCGATTTTAATCTCTTAGTTTAAGGGAAGACAGAGAGTGTATACACCGACGCCATTGTGATCGATTCTGAGCCATGTCACCAAGAGTCTCCAACCATTGGTTACGATAGTCACGCGGACCCCAACCAAGTAGTCTGCATCTACCAACATGGCTCAGACTATAGGTTAGTGTCTTCAAGCACTGATGCCACGTTTTGGTTTGGCCGCTCCTAATTCTCTTCCAACCATCTCTAACACCCGTTAGCTTTGCACTTCGTGGTAATCGGTGTTCAGGCATACGTAACATGTGGCCCAACCATCTCAGTCGATGAAGATTCACAACCTCATCAACTGATTTACCTTCATTCACTAATACCCTGCGTCTAACCTCACTATTACTTACGCGGTGATCCCAGCAGACGCCAGCAATATTTCTAAGGCATCTGTGGTCAAATACTAGTAGCTTACGGGTATCTTCAACCCTCAATGGCCATGTTTCGCAGCCGTAAATTAAAACAGAACGGACTGCCGCGCAATATACTCGTCCTTTTATTGATAGACGGATATCTCGCCTTCGCCATAGGTGACGTAAGTTGGCAAAAGCCAAACGAGCATTTCGAATCCGTACTGAGATTTCGTCAGACACCAACCCATTAGGGCTGATCAGACTCCCAAGATAAATGAAGTTGTCAACGCGTTCGACTACTTCACTCCCTATACCTAATTCAGGTGTTGACGCAGACCAGTCCTGAAGCAACAACTTGCATTTGGAGCCAATCCATCTGGGCTAGCTGCCCTTCCTCGTTTCAGATTAACTATAGCCTTTTGAACTTCTGCTAGAGTTGGGGGACCTACTTCGATGTTCCATTCACCCTGTCTGGGAATGGAGGGTAGTTGTAGAGTAGCTGAAGGCCAGCTGAACTGTCCTCTAAAATATCCCGCCCATCGTTCTAAACGTCTGGACTGAGAGCAGATGAGGGTGTCGTCTTTTTCCGGAAGTCCGACTTACACTTGACTTATTAATTCCAGTTTCTTTTATTAGTCTGTAAAGCTGTCTTGTGTTCCCTATAGTCGCCGCTTTTTCCATCTCTTTTGCTTTCGTTGCCCACCACTGCTCACGGTCGTTTCTCAGACTGTTGCTTAACCTAGACCTGATTTGCTGTCGCTCTGCATCGTGTTCAAAACCTGATGGGACAAGTTTGCGAGAATCCATTAGTGCGATAGACCTTGAAGAAATCCATTGGTTCTTTGTAACTCTGTGGTTTAAATCACTAATAGATGTCACTGCTGTTTCTACAGCTGCTTGTATGTCTTTCCAAGTAGCATCTGAGTCAGCCTCATTTTCAGAACTACCTAAGTGTGACCTCAGTTGATCCTGGAACCTACTTTTGGTTTTCTCGTCACTCAATTCAGTTCTAATTGTTCTTTTTAATGTGGCTTTTTTGCGTCCAGTGAGGCGCAAGCAGATGCGTGCCCGTATTAGGGCATGATCGGAGTCAAAGCAGGTACGCCAGAATGAGCGGCAATCTTCTACCGACCCTCTCCAACGATGACTGATGGCAATATGGTCTATTTGAGTCCATCGTTGGTTTGGTGTAGGGGGTCGCCATGTTAGACGATGTCTCTCCTTATGCTTAAAATTTGTGTTTGCTAAAAATAAACGATTGTCTGAGCACAGTTGCAGCAGACGATCACCATTATCTGTTCGTTGTGCCGGAATACTAAAATACCCACCTAAATGCCTTTCTGTTTGGTTTAAACTACCTATCTGGGCATTAAAGTCACCTGCTACGAGTACTATGTCTGAACGTTTAGCTTTTTGAAGAAGTTCAGAGAGCTTTCTGAACAAAACAAAATGAGATTCGGTTTGTATATCTACTCATGAGTTAAGTCATCAAAACAGTTGTAGAAATGAAAACCAGTTAAAACTGCTGACACCGGACAAATTAAAAGTCAATCGTTCGTGATATAAGTGAAGAATCTAAATATTTTAAAAAAATTAAAAATCAGTATTTTCTTCAAAATAAAAGAAAAATAACTTATCCAACTTATTTCATCTGTACTTGACTTATGAGAGAAGCTTCAGACTAGTAAACATATAGTCGACACATAGTTCTTCCTAAACCAAATCTGCATGCATCCAGAACTCAGAATTCAGGTACGTTTATCTTGCTGGCGTTGGTGTCGCACTAAGCGCTAGAGCTGAGGCAGCACTAATCGATCGGATCCCCATTAACAGTCCGTTATGTACTGTTAGATTAGAAAGTTCCATCAAAGTGAGAAGAAATCGGGGTGAGAAACGATGTCGTTTCGTCATCTCCACCTATGCCCCGACAGATTGCAGCCCGGATACAATCAAGGATGAATCCTACCACCAGTTATCTGTTCTTCTTCAGAAAATGCGTTCGACAGATATTGTAGTACTAGCCGGAGACTCGAATGCTCAGATCGGGCGTCTAGGCACAGAAGAGAATCGTTTAGGTGGCCGATGGGGACTTATTAGTCGCAGGACAGATAACCTGAACCGTCTATCAATATTTTGTGCAAACCACAACCTGTTTCTGGTTAGCACTAACTTTCGGCACAGTCATCGCCGATGTGCCACCTGGCGTCCTCCCTCTGCATCTCAAGCCTGGACTCAGATTGATCACATCGCGATCAGCTACCGCTGGCGTGGTTGTGTACAAGACTGCCACTCCTTTTGGAGTACCTATCTGGACTCTGGTCATGCCTTGGTCTGCGCCAATCTTACCTTACTTTTCAGTGGCCAACGAAGTGACCGCCACAAAAGGATTGATGTCAGCAAGCTGGTTGCAACTTCTGTTACTAGTAAGTACCGAACCGAGCTAGTTTCTAGGCTAACTACCATTCCACCGTAAAGTATAGATGAGCATTGGTTGCGGTTGCGTGACGCCATCGAAATGGCGAGTAAGCCGCTTGCGGCTTTGCGAAACGTCCCGCTTATAAGCACTGGGTTTCTTCAGGCTCCTTACAACTCATTGAAGCCCGTCGGTCTACTCTGGGTGACAGTGAGTTTGACCACGAACAACAACTGTTACGTAATGAAATCGGGCAAAGCTTGTGTAAGGACCGAGAAGCCTGGTGGTCGAAGCGTGCTAATGAGCTGGAAGCAGCACCTGCATCCGGTAACTACCGTGAGCTCTTCCAAATCATCCGAGCTACTGGCAGCAAGAAGCCTGGTGTGAGCGAAACAATCTGCGAGGATGACGGAACGCCAATCACTAACATCCATCGACGTCTTGGACGATGGGTAGAATTCTTCGAAGGGCAGTTCAACTGGCCTGCTGCTCTGGCAACATCGGCCAGACTGTCCTGGCCGGTGACGATTGATCCACCAAATGAGGCAGAACTCCGCAAGGAACTCCAACTCTTGAAGCGCTGCAAATCACTGGGTCTAGATGACTTACCTCCGGCGGCCAGACCAAAACATGGCACAAGTCCATGAAGTCACTGACAAGTGGTCTGAGTCATGTCGGTAGGTGTAGACTACCTGGTTGGGGACCGCGAGATGATAGCAACCGATGGTTAGAGACCCTGAATGACATGGCTCAAAATCGTTTCCAATGGCACAGGTGCATACACTCCTTGTGTTCTCCCAAATTTTGATCTCCTTATTCCTCCTTGTCTCTTTTTTTCTCTTCCAAAATTTATTTCACTGTATTATACTCTTTAAGTAACATCTCCAAACACTAACCTTCCCGATTACTGTTTATACTCGTATTACCTCTACCACTACGGGATTTGAATCGATCAATGCATCTCTGTGCTAATGTGGTGTGGCAACTCGAACTGATGTACGTACGTACGAAGTTCTACGTTGTTACTGACTGACTGACCATTCGAGCAGTGGGTTACACAGGGTTGCCCAATCTCACCATTCCTCTTCAACTTTGCCATCGATGACATTCTGGAAACAGCTCTGATGGATGTAAGTAATGGCGGTGTGGATCTGTTGCCTAGAGAAAAACTTCTCAACCTTGAGTATGCGGATGATATTGTCTTACCGCGCGATAATGCCCAAGCCATGCAATCCGCACTTAGTCAGTTGGCAATCAGTGTCCGTAAGTATGGTATGTGCATTGCACCTTCGAATGCAAATTACTTCTACAAGACTGGCAGGATTCTAATCCTGTACTCACTCTGGATGGTGAGCAGATAGAAGTAGTTGAGAAGTTCCTGTACCTAGGTAGCTGCATAAGTGCTGGTGGGGGCGTGAGTGATGAAATCAATGCACGTTTAGTGAAAGCCAGAGCGGCTTATGCCAATCTGGGCCATCTTTGGCGCCTTCGTGATGTTAGTCTGGCTGTAGAAGGTCGGATCTACAACGCGTCAGTCAGAGCACTTCTGCTCTATCAATCCAATTTACCAACCAATCAAGAAAGTCATGCACAACGGGAGACACAACCAAAACAAAGAAGTAAACAATGACAAATTTAAGGTCAATAAGAACCAATCAACATCGAGGTGCACAGAACAAGCTGTGAAACACATGGAGAAATTCGAACACTTCACTTCTACCTGAAGTTTATGCTGATGATGTCGTTCAGAAGAACGATGAAAGCTCCACGACTAAACCATCCAGCTCAGAGAACAAAACTCCACCAAAAAGTTCTGCTCTATGCTTGTGAAACTTGGCCTCTCCGAGTCGAGGATGTTAGACAACTCTCTGTGTTCAATCATCGTTGTCTTCGAAGGATTGCTGACATCCAGTGGCAACACCATGTCAGTAATGCAGAGGTTCTGCATCGTGTTCGGGCACAGAGACGATAATCCAATTGGTTTCACCATCTTGAAGCACCGACTTCGGTGGCTTGGACATGTTCTACGAATGTCGTTTCAGAGAATCCCACGTCGTGCATCATTCGCCGACTCTGGGACTGGTTGGAAAAAGTGGAGAGGTGGTCAGTGTATGAAATGGTATTGGAGTATGAAAAAAAACCTGCAAGGGGCTGGCCTGTGTTGGTCCTTCACGTCCTCCTGGCTGGGGTCCGAGAGATGGTGCTACACAGTGGCTAGAGACGGTATCAGATATGGTTCAGAATAGAAGTCAGTGGCGATCCTGCTGTAACCTTCTTTTACTTTCTTCATAAAAGTTGGTTGTATCTTCCTTAACTGAAAGAATTCTTTCCGGTTGTACCTTTCCGTTCCCCCATTATTACTAACATTATTACACTACTTTACACCAATCTGTTCGTTATTTTTCTCTTTTTCTTCCACGCTCCTTACTGTTTTTTTCCTTGTCTTTAAATTCTCATTGTTTTGTGTGGCGCATATATATCTGGTGCCCTCTTGTACCAATATTTATGTGTTCAAATAAATAAAATAAATAATCAACTGGGAAAAGGTATAATGACTCGCACTAAATATATATATATATATATATATATATATATATATATATATCCAAGTTAACATCAGCAGGGTTATTATGGTCTTCCACTAAACAGAAGTGACAATTTATAGAAATACAGAATAATAACTAGTTCAGTCAACAATATGATTTTCAATTATGGTTGTTAGGGATGTGAAATCCCCAAATCCAATGTGGAAAAAATCAATCTATAAATCGATTTAGGATTATTTTCACTCAGTCAACTCCTTTTAATTACAATTGTTTATTCAGAATGGGTCCTACTAATTAACTTTCGATTTGTTTTCACTAGTACCGGTTATTCATTATTCTGTTAGTTGTTGATATGACAGGATCAAAAGTCAAAATATGTTTCCCTCCTCAGAATTTGGACTTCTCTCTCTAGTTGGCTGTGCTTGAATGAATCGGAATAGCTAGTTTTCCTGTCATTGTGTCACAGAGCCTTCGTTCCGTTCTCCGATTAGGTGAACTCGTAATCTCTTCAAACACAGCACTTGTTTGATTTCCAGTGCATTTCCCCTTGTATTTATTATTTCATTGTGATTCCTTATTCAGTGAAAATTACTCAGTTGATGAAATTCTATAAATTATAATCAATGAATCGATTTATAACTGCATTAACTTAAATGTAAGTTAATTCTTCCTAGGTTTTCATCAACAAAGCCTTTTTACTAAGAACTGGACTTCTCACTCTGATTAAAGAGCAGGGTAGAAGGAGATAAAATTATTCTCGTTCAAAGTATTGAGTATTAGCTTAGAGCACGAAAGTATCAACAGCTGAAGACCTTATACAATATCACCTAAAACATATTAACAATTACTAATCGTTGAGTAGCTTACAACTAACATCGTGTTTTCCTAGTCTGTTGGTGACGACCAATTTCTGTTGAGTACTTAACAAGAATTGAGTATATGTTTTAATAGTTATCTCGAAATCAGTGAAATTTTAGAATACAGGCGAGGTCATCAGTGTTTTGTCGTGAGTGACCTAGATGAATTACTTTATGGACAGTGGGGGGTCAGAGTGCGGCGCTGTTACATATAGTTATAGATTAATGATTGTGAACATGCACAAAACGACATGGAAGTACATGGCTCCGTTTGAAGAGCATACAAGTAACGTTTCATGTGACAACAATTAAAATTAATTAAGGACCGAACATTGGTATAGTTCCTACAAACAAGTTCTTACATGTTGGTTTCTAGTAACGAGTGACGATGAGCAAATACGAATCTCACAAATATAATGATAATAATAATGGTTACCTACCTTCTATACATTTTTCAGGAACAACATTTACACCTTTTGAGACTAATTCCTGTGACGACCTTATAACTAGGTCATCTAACTCTACTGGTTCTTCGACCTTAAAATTTATTCCAAAACAGGGATCGAACATAGATATCTCCATTCCACTTCAATTTTCAAATGCATAGAAATATGTGGTAACTACAACAAATGGCAAAACAGCTCTTTAGCGAGAAAATATATCGCATAGAGGTTTCAACTTCAAATAACGAAAATCACTACTAGCCCCACCCTAATTTAAATTCCGTCACAAGATTACCATCCCTTTTACTTATAAAATATCTACTGATAATAACATTCAAGTAACATCGTTACTCCAAATATAATGAAATGTTTAGTTGCTGTTTAGCACCATTGATACTTAAAGGTTTTCTAATCTTAGCAAAACTTAATTTAGGGAGACGTTTTAATGAAGTTGATAACTCAACTTCCAACATTTTCAACCACCGATAGACTCACAGTTGTTCGGTATCACAAGCTGTGACTGATAGTTTCAAATTACCGATGGATTAGTATACTAATAGTTTTCTCTCACAATCTGAGTCACTGAGTTTACTTAGTCTTGTTCTTGAAGTCAAGTGCATTTCTTCCTCCTTGAGTCCTGAAAAAGGATTATTCTTCAGAATACATCCTTTCCTGTTTTATAAACCCAGGTCGCAATAAAGAGATATCGGTTATACGTTGATCCAACGTATGGAAGATCCTTAAGCCCCTAAGGAAAGGCGTCCAATAGCATTAGGCAAATGAAGCGTTTGTGTCTAGTATGAAGGCATGTTATGTACTAGCATAATGTGAAAAGTAACACGTGACAGAACCTAGAAGTGTAGAGAGCGTGAGAAGTGCCAGAACTAAAAAACAAACGAACCACACAGATTTTTGGCGTGGAATTCATTTCCTCATAAAGGTCAACAAGCATTATTGTATTATAGCTAGTACACTAACATCTCACACGTATATCGGCTCTTAATTCATGTTAAAAGTGTCCATAAATTCCAATTGTATAACTTTTCAATTGAGAATCGGGTGGAAGTAAAGAATATGAGCGACCTAGATCCTTCACCTCGAGCCGCCTTTCAGTAAGCACGAAAAATACTAAGGCGATTTGTGCAAGAAAATTGTTATATTCATGGCTGATACACAGTTTTAAAATGAATAACGGGCCTTTACATATGAAATAATAAAGTTCCCATCAAAAACAGAATTGCGGAGGTTCGCATCTAGCCAAGAGGTACGTTGTGTACTAAAGGAGTATGCAGAGTAGCATGATGGTTGGGAAACAAATGGACAAAATAAAAGGTGAATTGATGACCCAACAAGCACACACAGTGTATTGTGTAGTTTCGTTAGTGAAACCAATCGGCAACAATCTATAGTGTTTGTATGAACTGCTGATTCTTTTGTACTTGATGAGTGCCTGATATCAAACATTAAATGTAACATTTTCCTTTGGGTTTATCTAGTTCTGTTCTCTGTAAATTGCACTACTTCGGGAATTCGTAGTTCGCATAATGATTTAAATACTTCTAACTATTACATAATTTCCCCAAACTTGGGAGCTCGGGAATCACAAACAGCACAATTCTCATATCAAAACAATTTTTGGATTGAAACTAGAAGCAGATAGTTCAACCTGCTACAAGAACATACGAACGCACTGCACACCAAGATCGGACTGATTCGTCCACATACTTCACTTCCTATCACTAGCCACATCTAAATTTCCTTGCTCAAGGTCGTCCACTTTCATTACTTTGATCGAAGTGCCGAGGACCCAACAAGTGAACAAAATTCAGACTCAGATCTCAGACTTGTGTAGTAAGGACAGAAGGCCTACGGCCTATGTTATTCCTTTACTAATATGCTTCTGTGAGTGTCCAGTCTTCTTTTGAAAGAGTCAAAAGTGGTGTACCCCAAGGCACCATCTTAGCTCCTCTACTCTTCCTTCTCTACGGTAATGAGTTACCGCTGCTGCTTAGGTTGTCGGCATTATTGTTTGCGGATGACGTTAAAATCCGAAGAACAATAAAAAGTTGGGCCGATCATCTGGATCTTCAAGCTGACTTAGACGATTTAGTTAGATGGGCTCGAGGTTGGGGCTTAGAAATCAATTTTAGGAAGAGTGTGCTGATGCATATCGGTCACGGTAATGGTTAACATTATGCTATTGATGGTAAACCTCCTCCATGCGTTCAAGAGCATAAAGACTTAGGAGTAGTAATAAGTCATGACTTAAAAACAACTACACATTGCGACGCAGCCACTGTCAAAGTTTTTCGTGCGTTATGGTCACTTTGCCGAGCGTTCAAATCTTTTGACGAGGAATTGTCCCGAAATTCACATCCGACCTACATAAGACCACATTTGGAGTACTGTATCCAAGCACCTATCCCATGTCTGGTCAAGGATACTAACTCACTTGGGTGTGTCCAGCGTGTGGGAACGAAATTAGTGAAAGGTCTTTTTAAACTCCCTTACGATGAGCCTTTAAAACACCTAAACCTTTTCCCCTTGTCGCGTCGCAGGACGTGGGGTGACCTATACTGGCATTTCGTATCTTTACTTATGATTTGGGTGTTAATAGGTCTCATCCTTTTGCTCCTCCAGCACTAATAATCTCCGAGGTCATAGAAAGAAGGTACATAAACCGCGATCTGATAAACTTAAAGTGGGGTACTGTTTTTCTCATCCAGTAGTCAATGATTGGAACGCCTACCCGAACAAGTGTTATCAGCCCCATCAGTGAATATTTTCAAGGAGAAACTGGACCTTCGCTGGAAGACAATCTGTCAGGATTAACACAGGTTCACCAACCTACTATCCTTATCACAGCAGACTGAATTGAAGGTGCGAACACCACTGCTTCGGGCAGTAGGTTCCAAGTATTGATGACTTGGTGTGAAAACCTGTATGCCACGAGTATTTTGTTCGTTCTTGGCCTTTCTACTCGCCTGCTATGTTCTCTGAGGTGTCCCGATCTAGTAGGGAGAAAAAGAGAGAATAAGTTAGGTTCAGAATCATTTCTCACTGTCACCCCTAGATCCTTATAAGACCGGACTACGGGTAATGGCACTTCCCCTATGTTGTACCTATCAACCTTTGAATCCACAAAGTGCATGAAGACACACTTTGCTGCGTTGATAGGCATCAACCACCCTTTAGACCAATTAATCATATTATTTAAGTCTGCCTGAAGAGCACGTACGTCTGTATCTCCAGTCGTTACTCGCCAGATCTTTACATCGTCAGCGTATAATAATATTGGAGACTGTACTATACTTGGAAGATCATTAACATACATAATAAAAACCAAAGGACCTAGGACGGAACCTTGAGGTACCCCACTAAGTACTGGTTTCCAGATGGAGCACTTGGAATTTATTCTTACTTTCTTTCGACGACCCACTGGGAAATCCCTAATTTATTTTAAAAGAAGTCCGGCAATACCGAGGGTTTCCAACTTCAATAGCAGTCTTTTAGATGGCACCTTGTCAAAAGCCTTACTGAAGTCTATGTAGACAACATCCACTGAGTTTCCGTTGTCTAGCGCTTTTATCCAAAACTCCCTTGCTATAAGGAGGTTCGTGGCACAAGGTAGACCCTTCCTAAAACCATGTTGTTCTATGTTTAGCAAGTCATTGGCTTCCATAAATGCTATTATGGTCCGTGTGACTATTCTTTCCAATATCTTAACGAAAACACTGGTGAGGCTTACAGGTCGTAGTTCGATGGAAGTTGTCTTGGTTCTTCTTCATGTATGGAAGTGACGATTGCGTCTTTCCAGTCCATAGGTAACACACCTTGGTCAAGTGACATATTGAATATCACAGTCAGTGGGGTCGTGGTATATTGTGCAATATGTCTCAAGATTTTGGGGTGTAGTTCATCTGGTCCTGCTGACTTTTCCATGTTTGAGGTGCTAAGAGCCTTAAGCACATCGTCTTGATCGAAGCCCACGGTGAGCAGGTGGGTTGTTGACTCTTTATGTCGGTCTGGTTCTTTGTATAGAGGAGGTTCCTGAGTGAAAACTGCCCCAATAAGTGCAGTGTCAGGAGTGGGACTTTCAACAATGAAAGCAGCAGTCAGCATTTGGGGAGATTCGAACAAGCTGAAACTCGAGGCAGGAACTATGCAAGGTAAGATTCAGACTATTTTACAATTTTTATTTTAGATTATCGCATTCAGATGAGGTCATACGTACCTCACTCAAATAGTTCGGCTAGTTCTGAACAGAAAGTAAGGATCTTTCGACGAACGGCTCGGCGTGTCTATTACCAATGGATAGGTAATGATCTATATTTACATTCAGATTAGATTCAGATTTGTGTAGTGAGGAAAGAACGCCTCTGGTCTGTGCTGGTCCTTTTCTAGTAGGCGTCTGAGAATGTTTAGTCTTCACCTGAATAACTCAATTAGAGAATAGGACACCACCTCATTAGGTAACAAGTTTCAAGAATTTGGTGGCCCAGCATGGAAACCAGTATGCCTCGTGTTGTCTGTTCGTTCTTGTCTTTTGCACTCTCCCTTGAAGTTGTCCCGACTTAGTAGAAAGAAAAATATAGGAAATATCAAGTACAGAATCATTATCTTAGTATTCTGGACACCGAAATCACACCACCTCTTAATCCGCAGTAGGGAAGAGTAAAGATGTTCAACTTCTCCTGTCTCTCGGACTATAATAAACCCGGAGTTATGGGATAGCGCAAGTAGCTATTGTCTATACACTTTTCGAAATATCCACAACACTGTTGAAATAGGGGCTTGCAGCTTGAGTGCAGTTTTCAAAGGTAGATCTTATAAAGGTTGTGTACACTTTTTGAACATGTTGGTATCCAACTTGATAAATATCCTTATAAAAACTACACGATTGTGAACCACTCAGCTATCACCACGCGTTAGTGGGACGTGGTTTGATGATCATGACTCACCGTTACTACGAATTCATTGTAAGAACCGATAACGAGCGCCAAATCTTCTCCTATATTGTACCTATCTACCTTTAGATCCCCTCATTTTCATACAGACACACATGTGCCTGGTCCAACGTTGTAGCTGACTGACTGAGGCACACTTGGCTGCGTCGACAAACACCAACCATCTATTAGACCAGAGAACTGTAGCATCTAAATCCTCCTGAACTGCATATACATCTACGTCTCCTGTTATTTCTCGCCAACTTTTCACATCATCAGCATGAAGCAACACCTGGGACTCAACTATATTCCAGAGTTCACTTGCATACATAAACAAAGTTACAGGATTCAGTACAATCCCTCGAACATCCACCAAGTACTCGCTTCCAAGAGAAACACTTGCCATTTATCCCTACTTTTTTAGGTGTCAACTCAAAATATACCTAGCAAACAAATGTGCAGAGTAAACGGCATCGGTAAGTCAGAACGATATGCTCTGTGTATCTAGAAATCATAAAAACACATCCTACTCAGACTAAAAGACTGAAGGTTCAGTTGAACAAAATTTACGAATATCAAAATATCGGTGCAGAAGTTATCGAAACAAGGAAGAATTTCAAGAGATAAACAAACTATCGATTTAGACACGAAACCCACTCTATAGAATTTCCCACCAACATATGTCCAACCCAAAGTATCAGTTTCTCACATATTAGGACGCGATATTTACCCAATGGACGGATTAAATGCTATCGTAATCCTCTGGATGCAGCAACATTATTAAACTTATTTGTGTCCCACTCACTCGTATATCTTGAAATTCAGAATTCTGTCGGATGAAATTAGACCTACTATCACTGTGATTTGCTTTTCCATTTCCTCTTCTGTCTATTAAACCCATTAAATCCACCACGAGATCATTACGGTTCGTATTGAATGCTACTTCTGAGTGCACAGCACCTGTTTGAAGACATTCGATAACACATTCATATCAGTTTTCTTCACCCTTACCATTCCAAATATGCTTGCACACAGCAGCTAACCTATGGGAAATGTGATGGAAGTACCGACTGATCAGCACCAAAGCCTTAGTCGCCATTACCTTTCAGTTATTGTAAATTTAGATCCTAAAGTCCTATGTATACGTTATTTCGAACCTGAAATATAAACGAAGTTATCCGATTCGCCTTCCACAGCGACATCGTTTAGAGCATCGAATTCATTACTGACACACCTATATTTTCGGAAAACCCAGAGGTTTACAAGTTGACTTAAACTATCCGCTAGCTCGGGGACCTCAGACACTATTTCTACAGAAACAAGACAATAGCACACGTGGAATTTTCGTCGAAGAGTAGCTCGTAATCTTGTCGAATAAATCATAGTGACCGATGATCATACGTCTAAAATCATAAACGGCACAAGACAGTCAATATCAGGAATTGAGTCAAGATTATTTCTGAGAACCACAAGAAGTCGAGAACTTCTTCATCCTCGTCAGGCAGATGTTCTTGAAAGGACATTTCCTCTCTGTCTGCTGATTGCTCAATCTTAAGTCTTCTGAGTCTGAGGAATACTTCTATTAAATTTGGTCTTAAGTGTATTCAATCATTTAGAGATACATGATTAGGCAGCACAGCTGAACACTATTCGAACATTTCCTGGCTTTTTATGATTAAGCACAGGATGATGTAGAACAAAATGCCTTTCTCTCTCGGCAGCTTGCACCAATTGGGATAAATACACCTTACAGTCACGATTAACTAATATAATAATTTACAGCTTAGGATGATGTTCTCCTTTCAATAATCTTTTAGATAGGTAGTTTAGTCGCTTTTCTATCTAGTATTTATTCGCTGTCAGAGAATATAAATACGTTGACTAGAAGCTGGTTGGCCATTCGGTGGCATTGTCTGGGCCTTGTAGATTCCGCGCGCGATCTCTCCATATGTATTTGTAACAAGTGACGCAATCTTTTCCACAAACTCTAACAATTAACGAAATACGGTCTCTAACCTTTTTTCAGGATGTCGTCTACCGCTTCTGTCCATTTGGTATGTACCCTGTGTGGAAGTCTCATCACCACTACTTTTATTTTAGAACATTTAAAGTCTGAATTCCCTTCATTTGTAACAAAGCTGTCTCATAGTTGGCGACTTTTTCATATGAGCTTCTGCAAACCTACTACGTCACTCTGATGAAAAGAAGGACCGTTTAACAATTACATTAGGAATCCCACTGCAATGTCAACAAGTCAACCAAATTACTTAAGTAAAGCGCTGATTACCCTAGTGTAACGTTCTTATTCTCAAATGGGACGCAATATTCTATATCATCCTTGCTATAACTTCACAATGTTGTAACAATTACATGTAGAGTTAGGTGTCATCATTAACTCAGTCCTCAACGTTTACATTAAATCCTTCCATGAACATTCAAAACCCAAGTGGATCCCCACCCAATTCAGTAATTTTAGTTTAGGCTTATCTCAATATCCTTGATAGTGACATAACGATATCTACCCCTGTTTTAAGTTCAACCAACTGTAGCTTCAGATGTCAGATCTTCGGGTCAAGACTCAGATAATACAGCGCTCCGACCTTCGTTTTAAAGTTTGTTAAAATGCGTCTGCTTGATTTCTGACAGCCATTTATGAGGCTGCCTAATCTCTAACCCGACCTCTTTAAAGACTACTTTTTACTACTACATAGTTATGGACTAAAAGACAGTTATCTTTTAGGTTAGGGTCTACATTATTGAAGTGAGTGAATCTTCCTTAGGAACTGGGGAAACAACATTTTAGCTGCCAAATCGCCATTTCTTATGAACCATCCGTATTATACTTCGTTTTTCTGACTCTTATCAATGCTGGCCCACGATAACGAACATGCAATTATAGACCAGAGTTGGCTACCATGGGCATTCACACCAGATTTTAACCTGAGTTCAGACTGTTAAAACTATCGAAGCGTCTAACTACACGACGAACAATAACGCGCATCAGTTCTTGCCTTTCATCATTTTAATCGCAGTGTCGTATTAACACTTGCTAGATGGTTAACGTAGACAACCCACAACTTATCTTAGGTAGTATTTATATTTCGCATCTCTTTACTCACATTTTACCTTGTTCCCGACTGGTTGTCTGACAGTTTGCTAAAAACAATCTTTACTTCCTAGCATAGATGCACTTACTTCATCGATTACCACTCTCAAAACACGCCATTATTATTCACCCCTTCGCGAAATTTCGTCCGCCATACCCAAAATAAGGAGCTAAATAACTACTTTATTTATAGAATTGCAATTCTACAACGTCATCCGTTAGTTCTTAACCATTCAACTGAGGATGTCACAATCTCTCTACCCATCTTTGGAAGAAGAGCTTACTATTCGTGGAAAAACACAACTCCTTAACTGTTGTCTGCCGTTCACGTCGATACTATAATAACTAGCGTTGTCATACGTCTACACGATTAACCTTCTTTCGACGGATAAATCATTACAACCTGTTATTTAGGCATACATACGTGCGGCCATGAGCATGTGTGTATAATCTTAAGTGTATGCATATATGTTTCTTTCATGCTCATAAATTTGCATCACATTTAAATTAAATGAAGTTGGCACAATACCTTTCTATGCTGCGCTTTCGGTCTTGCTGTCTGACTGAAATACACTCACACAACTTTGTATTTGGTTTTATAGCAACGTTGTTGCCCGAACGGGATTAACCTTAGTATAATGTGTGGAATGAAACGTTAGATTGTTATGGCGTTCAATGAACATTATTCATCATGGAGTCAGATAGCGGACACCACATTAGCTCTTGTATCTATGGCTGGTAGTGTTTTGTATAACAGAAAATTTGAACGTCGATAAAGACTCGGCAGATATTTTTCAAATAGATCACATCGCATAATCAAAATTTATTAAAGGATCTAATTGTTTTAAACAATCACTTTATTTGTACAATGATGATAAATATATAAATAAAAAAATAAATAATAAACAAAATATCTATTTGATTGGAGATTTGGGGATAAATCCTATGTGCATGTTATCAATTCCAATATATCAGTTAGTTTAGTATATTCGTTTATTAAACAGCATTTGATTTCAGAGTAGTAAGGTAACAGACAATAAATGATGATGATGATGATGATAATAAGAAACTTAAAATGATTCAAATGATTTATAGCTCGTCAAATGGATGCTTTTCGTAGTATTGCGTCCTCTCAGCTTGACAGTCTAATTGTGAAGCTATCATTGTTGTTCTACATCAAATCATTCATTCTCATTTTCAAATAGTAGTAATGAAGTTGGTAAAATTCAAAGCTTCATATATCAGTAGTAATTTTTGATCATTACATTTGGAATATGGCAAAAAAAGACTTGATTATCACAAACCTAAATATACAATTAAATAAATCTCGATCAATAATAAGATTAATTTTAGTGCAGATTTCCAAACAAAGAATTTCCCTACATAATCAGTATGCATTATGTAACTACAGTAGAACATACTAATTAAAAAGCAAATATATATATATATATATATATATATATATATATATATATATATATATATATATATCACAGTGATTCAACGCTTTGACATCATTTTCTACTATACGTTTTAATGACACCAACACTACAAGTTGTACATAAAAATATATCCCGTTTATATTTTCCTCAGTAAGATGCATCTAAAAATCTTCCATAAATCATAAAATTATTAGTCCAAATCAGTATTTCGGTCAAAGTAATTTCGAAATGTATTCAGTGGTATTATTGGGTCGAGTGACAAATTAATGTTCCAGAAAACCATTAAATATATAAGACTTATCATTGAAACACTAAAATAACAGTCATACTAACACTCTTGCAAGCATATTATAAATAATAATACATAGTTAAGTATATAATTAAAGTTAAACACACTTACATTAAATAAATTTTTAGACAACTTATGACTAAAAAATCGCAAAATGTAGAAAGAATTCACTATTAATGAGTTTTCTCAAACGACATCTTCCGTTTGGTCCCATTAAGATTCTTCTCCTTAAAAGAATAAATTCATTTCAAAAACAGACTATCACAGAAAATAATCTAAAATTAAATAAAACTAATGAATAAAATACATCAATAATACCACCATACAGTATATATATATATATATATATATATATATATATATATATATATATCAAATGAACAGGACCGTTACAAAATCCATAATTCAAAGAGTCAGTTGAAGAAGAGTGAACGCTTTATCAGTTAAGCATTCAATGTTGTTTGTTGAAAGTATATGTGAATATATGGATAAATTGAATGTATTCACATTTCATTCATATTGCGCTAAACTAATCAGCAATTAATTCATGGAAGCCACAGAAATCAAAATACTTAAACAATGAAACAAATGGATACACTGACTACGACAACTATTGTTGTCTAGAAATTCAACAATAGTCAAACAGAATACTTAAAAGATGAATATTTAGATAGATTAAATGATAATCACGGAAAATGTTACACATTCAAAATATTTCAGAAAATCTCACGAAAAAGTAGAAGGTTGTGGAGATTATTAACATTTTGAATGAGATCATGAACCGATTGATGTTAGACCACCGTTGGAAACCTGGAAGCACTGGACGGCCGTTCCGTCCTATTGTGGGGCTGCTCAGCAATGCTCATCCACTGATAATTAACATGTGCTCACTAGTGACTAGCTTCGTGAGAAAATTATCAGAGTTCTAGTGAGAAGCCGTGACCGATAGAGCTAATCCGTGTCGGGTAGAGACAGGTATCTACCTCAGCACAATAGATGGTCGCGCAATTACGTGGATTGGTTGATGTTAGACACTAACACCATTGGATGCCAGCTCAGTGATCCAGTGGGTTAAGCATTTGCGCGCGAAACTTAAGGCCTTAGGTTCAGATCTCGCGAGCGGGATCCTGGATGCGTACTGCTGAGGAGTCCCACAATAAGACAAAACGGCCGTCCAGTCCTTCCAGGTTTCCAACGGTGGTCTAATATCAAGCGGTTCATGACCTCAATCGGAAAAAGTAGAAAAAGAGTACTGAAGTGCGATCGTCTTTCTCATTCACAGTGTTAAAAGGTGAGCTTTAACTGGATTGCTCACAGTTTATTTCAAGGCGGTTTCCTAAACAAACTGTGAAAATCAAGCTAAATAAATCCCTACAATCATCAAATACGTCACTGATTTGGGACATATTTGTAAATTCCTTGCAAGTAATTGCTCTACTAAACTTCCAGTAAGAAATTGTGACTAGCGAGGCATCGTATCCTCAGTGAAGATAATAAATGTTTGTTACAATGCATTGGAAATTTAATCAAAATAGAAAGTCTATATAATTCAGAACTATGTGCGTTTCAGTTTAGTTGATAAATACTAAATAAATATAAATGAACTGGAAATAACGCTTACTCTCATGATTAGTTTTCACATGTTTTCTAAGATACTTCTTTGTTGAAAATGATTTCGCACAGAGCTGACAGGCAAATTTAAATCCTAAAATAAGGAATGTGAAGATTGTTCGACAACTGAAAGATCAACACGAATCATATAGAAAGGTAATGCTTTTAGCAGTAACAGTAATGATAATAGTAATACTGCTAGTAATGATAATGATAACAAAAATAGGAATAATGCATCTACTGAATTCCTTTCATCATATAATAGGAAAGCAACATTAAGATTTAATAAAATAAGATGGAAAGATAAACAAAAACACCTGACTACAACATCGCCATACATAGATCGACTTCAGACACTTAATTTAATCGTAGATGAAATAATGACATTGAGTTATGGATTATGCTTTCCAGTTACAAAATAAAATATGTAATTGTCAATAGAAGAAACAATCTCCTAAATTTTATAACGACCAGATAACATCAATACAAGAGCAATGATTTAAATCTCAGACAAATTGGAAAAAAACCATTATCTAATGTCTCCTTAATTTTTTCTTTCAAAAGTTATTCAAAAGATTTCAACTCATAATTGTTATAACTTGTGGCCTATGTGCCCTTTTAATGTATAACGTGATAATACCATCAATTAGAGAACAGTGAGTTATCGATCGGGTCAATGACGCCTAAAACCCGTGCGAGCAGTGTAGAGTACTTATCGGTCCTGCTTCCTGCCTAGCTCAGTCAGCTAGGTCCAGAACACCAATCTCAGCCTCTGCAATATCAATCATTTATTTCAAACATACTCGGTTTATTAAAAAGAAGAATATATTTGTAAAATCTCAGCGAATGAATTTTAAGTAAATCCAACGTTTCGCCTGAGAATCTGGTCCAAGCTTTTTCAAGGAAAATATACTCGGTTTATAATGCCAACCAGACAGACAACATCGTACTATAACATAGGAAACAACATTTGTACAAGATTTAGCCAAATGTGGCTGTGAATGTGGGAGGTAGTGAGTGATTAATAGACAGGGCATAATTCAAGAATGGTGAATTGTATAATAATAGTTCATAGGTCAAAATAAATCTCATAATAAGAGGGACATGAATATGAATAGTTTAGTTATTTAACAATCATACGATAAAAATATACGCATAGTAATGGTCCATAAATGGATCCCAAAAGTTACGATTCAGTATTCTTATTGGAATATAACAATAATGAAGAAAACTATCTTCATTATATTTAATTAATCTTTATAACAATCTATTGAACTGGAAAATAAAAGGAATAATTTACTGATGAAAAACTAAAGGATGTTGAATCAGACGTGGTCAGTATTTACCCTCATAAATCAAACAGTTCTCATTCGTTCAAAAGTAGACTCAAAACAATTCTTAGTGAAACATTCAAATATTCATATGCACATTAATTGAAAGACGAAACAGTTAACATATTCTATGTAATAAGATAGTGGAATCTTAAATGAATTTTACATGATAATTACTATTTAACAGTCTATTTGAATTAGTTTAATAGTGAAAATATTTTATCATTCAATATGTATAAACAAACATTTTTTACAGTTGAATTCACGAATCGATCTACGCTAGATCATCATTGAAAACCCCGAAGTACTGGATGGTCGTTTCATTCTAGTATGAGAGTCTACAGGAGTGCGCACCCATCATCCCGCACTCAGGACCTTCAGTCTCCAGTGCAAACGCTTAATCTCTAGAACCCTGAGCTAGCATCCAATGGCGTTAATGTCTGACTCCAATAAATTTATAATTTTGCTCAACCCTCCATCCATTGTCTGAGGTGGATAACTGTCTCCACTGGTTACGTTTTCTCAGTGGTCTAGAGGTTAAGCGTTTGAGTGCTAAACCGAAGGCTCTGAGTTCGAGTCACCCGTGTGGCACCATGAATGTGCACTATTGAGGAGTCCCATAATAGGACGGATCGGCCATTCAGTACTTTGAGGTTTTTAATGATGGTCTAGCTTAGATTGACTTGTGGATTCAACTGTGAAAATACTATAATCACCACAAATCTGCATGCTGAAAATATTTTTTTTAAATAGTCAAAATAATAAATCATATTTGATATTTTCTTTAATCATACCTTCATGGACAACTTTAACATGATCATTTAATGTACTCTGTTTTGTAAATTTTTTGTCACATTGTCCACAAGTAAACCTCACTCCTAAAAGGAAATAAATAAATAAGAAGTCTGGTAGGATAATAGATCAATTCACTTCAATTACGAATCATAGTAAAATAAGCTTGCGTGTATAGATCAGACCATAATGACTCTGTGAAAGAGATCATCCGTTACATAAGAAAAATTAGATAAACAATACAAAGCCAACTGCATAGTGAACATCAGTGACTAATGGATCTAAGATGAAATAACTAAGGATTGAGATTGGTAGGATGTCAAATGTGTTTAGATATATTAGATTAAGCCTTATCATATAAGCCTGCTAGTTGGACTTGTTTAAATTGTTCTCTGTGGGACTGATAAACTGTATCATAATATTTCATACTGTATTGCTCCGCTCGAACGATAAGCTAATGAACAGATAGTGTGTTTGTCATGTAAAGTGTACAACCGACTACAAATTCCAGGATGCATACAGCTATTAAAGCGAGCGAGTCGAGGTAAACATAGGTTAAAACCAATTGGTTTCGGTCAATCAGAAAGCCAACTGAAAAGATACATAAAGAGGGTGACTAATAATTACTTTCAGATATTAGCTTTTGGGGGCTTTTTTATCTAATGGAACAAAATTATAGGCAGTATAGACATATTAAAGTAAATAATGGTGCAAAAGTTTCCTGAGAGGGTTAGTCAACAGACCAGCACATATCAGTTCAGATGGAAAATGTACGGTGCTCAGCTTATCTTAATATAACACATATTTTATTAATTTTCAAAGACATAACCATATTATACAAATCAATAGTGTAACTCAGTGAACAAGTAAATGTTTAGGTAATCCAAGAACGTTCCAACAACCACATTTCGTTCAACGCCTATGATATGGAGTGGCCCAACTAGAAATCAATATTTCAAACCATCGGTTTATTGTGCAGAATTGAAGTCGAGATTCAATACCATGAGACGTTAAATGAACAAACAAACTGACATGTGACAACACCATTCATGGATCATCATTTTTCACTTCAAAATAAAAAATAAATCTTAATCTGAAAAGTAAATTGGAAACATGATTGACGTATATAACTTTCATGACTCCGATCTTATCCTTTTGTTCCTTCGATTTTACCGACTATTATTGAAGTGTTGTGTGTCAGCTACCGCATTATTGAACTGCTCGATGGAAACCGATCGCATTAGGGGAATCTCAATCATTTGTAATTAAAAAGTAACTTAGATCTATTATTAAAAAGCAACAGAAGAATCAGTGGAATACGACTTTACTCAATCACTCGTTTCCATGGTAAACTGAATCATAAAGCCATTATAATCCGCCATTGATTAGACACTTTGGATTACAAACTTTAAGGATCCTTACAGAGGAAACAACATACTTCAATTTATACGATCGAGTAATACAACTAGCCACAAACCAATAATGTTAATATACTAGTAAAAATATGAATACCTTGATTTATCAATACATTCTAACAAATTTCAAAAGAATCCCTCCTTATTGAACAAGCTCATTTCCCATTATCTTATAATCATGTAGTTCATACCTTTCAAAAATTTAATTACTCGTACTTTTCTTATAGTAAGAAAACGTCAATAAAAAAACAGAGTGAAATAAAAATGGGATTAGTGAACAGGGTGTATAAGCATATTAAAATCCACAAAAATACACGTAAATGTAATTGTGTGATTGTAAAAAAAGACTATACCTTGATGAATTGATTGTATGTGTCTACTTAGTGGACATTTCGCAGTGAACTTCTTATCACACTCATCACATTGGAAAAATATACCTATAAGAACCGAGAAAGCTGAGATTTGGTAAAATATGTTTAACTATTTAAAATGATAATCCAACTAAAAATAAGGGATTCCTAAGAGTTCGAGCTTCACAATATGTGACCAAATGAAAGGTGAGAAAGGATTACGATCTACGATTTATTAGTTGAAATTTGTGTTTTTTAACCTACTACAACACCAATTTATCTTTCGTGAAACAGAACTTCCAGTGGAATATTATCAATATGAGTTGCCAAATAATTAAAAGTTCAAGAAACATGAAGAGTGATTTCAATGTGATGTGTATGATCAATATTTGATGAAACTGCGCGTAAAATACGATTTCATGATAGAATATAAGTATAACCAACCAATAGAAATTACCTTCATGAGCAGACTTTACATGTAAGTTTAGATTGGATTTACAATTAAACTTCCTATCACATTGTTTACAAGAAAGTTTTATTCCTAGTGAGAGAGGAAAAAAACAATAATTAACAAAATATATACTTATACAAATTCGATATCAATATTCAGGGTAATTAGTTTTCATTAACTCAGGTGGTCGAGACATGTATTATGTATGCTCAAAAGCTCCTACTTCGAGGGACGATGTTGCACGGTGTAAAATTAGGCTGAAAGATATGGCATGACAAACGTAAACGAATCAGCCCATGAGGTCATTACCAAATGGATTAAGCCATGTACGTAGGTGTAGACTATTTGCTCGTGTTATGAACGATTACCGAAACCAGTGGGTGCGCAGACATGGATTAGAATCGATCATAGTGGCTCAAGTGTTTTTACATTTCTTCTTAACCTTAGATTCTAAAGTCCTGAAGTCTTTAAATACTTTTTTATTCCATACCTAAAAATTTTCAACTATTATTTATCATTTTGACTACTACCACTACATTAGAATTGGTCTAGATAGTCTTGTCGTGCAGCGCTAAATGTGGCGTGACAACTGAAACCCATGTATATCAGTAATACATTCCAAGCAGAGTATTAAAACTGACTACTAACTGATTGAAACATTAGAAATCGAAGAAACATGTTAAAACAATTCAAATGAAAAGCATACACGAAATAATTTTTCTGATGAGAATGAATGAGGGGTACCAGTTTTACAGTAGAACGTCTCTTTCAAAACTGAAACATACCTTTATGAATAGCTTTCACGTGGTTATTTAACATACATTTGGACGAAAACGTTTTACTACATTGGTCACATGGATACTTTATTCCTAATCAAGAAAAGCAAGTATGAATACTGATAAATTTTTATGAAACAAATTAAAAATGAATAAATGTGGTTATGTACTAAAGGTTGGAAGTATACATATCATTCTAGATATACATAACCATTTCAAAAGAGAAAAGGATAAGAAAAAAAACAATCATTCCCATAGAAGACCTTGAACTATAATTATGGTATGAAGAGTGAAAACAATCACAGCAATTGAAATTTAAGTACTCCGACAGGATAGTAATAGCTACAACGCACATTCTACTTGTAGAAAACACTGAAGACCAACACTAGTCATTTTCATTAAAATACAAATATACAAATGTTACTTCCTATTTTATGGAGCGTTGCGGTCTGTTTGTTTGGTATATAAACACTGTGTTTGAAATATATGATTCACATAGTGGAAGCTGGTATTGGAATTCTGGACTCAAGTGGACGGGCTAGGCGGACATAGGACCAGTAAGGACGCTAGGCTGCTCATACCGGTCTAACGTCATTGATTTGGTACAGTGTTAAGATAGTAGAAGTCGTATTTTGATTGGTGGATAAATCACGTGATAAAGAGCCGGACATAAAGTCACAACAAATGTATCTTTCAGTAACAGTTTATTCACATAAAACAGCAAAATATTATTCAAAATTCTATAACTTCAAGACCTGAAATAAATATTCTTAATCATTATCAATCTTTTAAGTATTCATCATAGTATTTCTGTGTAGGCTGATTCTATCCAGATGACTAAACCGACTCAAGCAGTTTCCGTACCAGAAGATTCATATCTACATATGTTAAAAAGTTAGATTCTGGAGAAGCTATAGAAGAATTATATGTGAATCATCATTATAAGTTCAACAAAATACATACATAAAAATTTGAAGCACAATAATAGACTAACCTTCATGAATATTCTTATTATGTTCATCTAAGCCTACTTTAAAAGCAAATTCTTTGTTACACAGATCACAGGTAAATTTTACACCTAATTAAAAAAATCATACGAATTACTAAAACCTATGTCATTAAAAAAAGTAAAACAATTCTTTAAACAAAATCAGTAAATATACTAGTGGATGGTAATAAATTATCACTATATGACTCTGCGACGCAGGTACATCCAGCTGACGAGACCGAAATAGGACAAAATCAATCAGTTAGTGACTACGTAGAACTTCGTACGTACGTACATCAGTTCGAGTTGCCACACCACATTACCACAGAGATACAATTGTCGATTCAAATCACGTAGTAGTAGAGGTAGTAAAAGTATAAGCAGTAATCGGAAAGATTAGGGTTTGAAGATGTTATTCAAGTAGTATAATCTAGTGAAATAAGTTTGGAAAAAGAAAAAAAGGGACACGAAGAATTCAAATCAGAAGTTGGGAGAATACAAAGAGTGGATGCACTTGCGCCATTGCAGACGATATTGAGCCATATCATTTAGGGTCTCTAACGATCGGTGGCTATCGTCTCGCGGATCCTAACCAGGGATTTGTGCCATTTTTTGGCCTGGCCGCCCCTAGCTTAAGTCCAACCTACTCCTACACTAAAAAACATCGTAGGTCGAGACAGTCGGTGGTTGGACATATAAAATGCGCGTCCTGGATTCCACTGCTAACTACCATCGATCATTGCTCATAAAGCTTGTGACTTAGGGCAATATCGAGGCAACCTGCACAGGATGCACATATCCCAACAAGAGACTGATCAATTGCAGTCCTACACAGTGATGGGAAGATACAAGCAACCAACACCAGCTAAATCTGACTGTCAAATACTTATTAATAGTATTTCTTGACATAGACAATGAAAATTGACATATATATGTACACTTGGACACCTACAACTCCTGAAACAAATGGAATTTAATGCCTTTTAGTTTCGAGACAAACAATACTTCCAGAACACTGAGTCTGAATACAATACTAATACAAATTATCTATTTCATTTAATTCACGATACAACGGAATGTGATGGCTTTCCGAATGTTCTGTGAGACGCAATGACCGGCAAAGTTCTAGCACATTAGGTATAAGAAAATTGGATGATTATGAAGCAACATTTCAAACTAAATAAGACTAGAAATAAAAATTACTGGATCAAGGGTAGTTTTTGACAAAAGCCATGATTACTATGATACCCAGAGAACTTCTATCCTATTATAACATCAATAACTTGATATGTGTCATAGCACATCAGACGATAGACAATCAGAATGGTTAACATGTTGAGACAACCCTCATAAGGAAGTAAGGTCGGTTAAAGTAATCAAATTATTGAAAGTTAATGAAACAAGTAATAATGACGTGGATGAAAAGTGTATCCTCAATGATGATTTGATAGGAATACATGTAGTATACGATTTCATTGAAGAACACTGATATCACACTAACATAACTTACCTTTATGATTAGCTCTCAAATGTTCATTTAAATGAAATCTAGATGTATATAATCTATCACACTGATTACATGGATATTTTATTCCTAGTAAAAACAAAATTATTAAAATTCGTAAATGTACTTAAACAAATAAAAAAGAATCAGTAAATAAGGTAATCTAATAGGAGGTTTACAGCACACATAAACATAACCATTTCGGGAAAGAATTAGTGATGTTGATAATTAATAATTTTACTATCTTCATTTTCATATTTTTATGAGGTATTGATATACTAACCGGATACTTAAACACAATCAGGTAGTGTTCATAAGAGATATTTCTCCAAGCCCGCGATCTGACGATCTAATCCACAAAGGAGTGGCAAGATGGGAAATGCATCATTTATCAAAATTCGGAACTGGATTAACAGAAAAACAATCTTAAAACGAATGCTAGTTTGAATTTTCAAAATGTGTGTACCATCAACTCCGGCGGTATATTATTCGAACACTGAATAGTGGATTTTTAAGAGCACCGTAACAATATCTAGGTATTTTTCAGAAAACATCCATCGACTGAGACAGTGAAAAATGCAAACTGACTCTTGTCTTCTCAAAAGATGGTGGTTGAGCCAATGGCTTATTCATTACCGTTCATTATTGGGGATATATGGCTATCACAGGTCATATATAACTGACGTATTTACTAGCTGCCCGTACATCGAACAACCTGAAACCCACTAATTGGAGGTCTAACGACACGCGCATGTACATGAATCGCCATTCTAGTCGAGCGAATCTGCCGCACTTTTATAATAGAATGGTCGGAAACACATCAACGTTGGCAACGCTATCAGACATAAATTTGAAGTCATACCCACGGGAGTAGGGACTTATTCTCTTGTTATGCAACTAATGTTCATTCGTCGCATTTGTACACAGCAATCGTCGTTTTTCACCTTTTCAATGACAAACCAAACCGAACTTCAGCCATTCTTTTGTTGAATCAATAAGCCTTACTATCACGTCGAGCTTACCACTTTTGTAGCACAATATCTGATTTCGGTTCGATCGTACGAAGATGCGCTGAACATAAATCTTCCAGTTAACTCCGTATATTAATTAGGCTATTCCCGTTTGTGCGACTGCAATAATGAGAAGCCAAATACGGGTTGGGTTAATTTATTTATTTATTTGAACACATAAATATTAGTACAAGAGGGCATCAAATATATATGCGCCACACAAAACAATGAGAATGGGAAGAGAAGGGAAAAAAAGGTAAGGAGCGTAAAAAAGAACAATAACGAACAAATTAGTGTAAGGTAATTTAATAATAATAATAATAATAATAATAATAATAATAATAATAATAATAATAATGGGGGAAACGGAAAGGTACAATCAGAAGAAATCTTTCAGTTGAAGAAGATACAACCACTTTTTATGAAGAAAGTAAAAGAAGGTTACAGCAGGATCGCCACTGACTTCTATTCTGAGCCATATCTGATAACGTCTCTAGCCACTGTGTCGCAACATCTCTCAGACCCCAACCAGGGAGACGTGAAGGACCAACACAGGCCAGCCCTTTGCAGGTTTTCTTTCATACTCCGATACCATGTCATACACTGACCACCTCTCCACTTTTTCCAACCAGTCCCAGAGTCGGCAAATATTTTTTTGTCTGGTATGATATTTTATTCTGTATAATATGCGATATTCTTGTATTCCATTGACATGAACTATGCTCAGTCTGTGATTTGTTATAACTCTAAGTATTTTCCATATATGTGATTTCATCGTAATTATCAATCAAAATGGGTGTACAATCAATATATATATATGAGTGTATTTTCTACTAGAGTTGTCGTCGTCATAATGTTTTGGGTTAATAAATCATCACTTATACCAGTCTTTGTGTTCTTACGTTTGTATCGCGGGAATTGCAGAGGTCCCTCATTCCGATTATAAGTGATAAGCGTTTCCGACACAACAATCAGCGACGACCCGATACAAAAAGTAGCATTAAAAGAGCCAAGACAATAAGCATTCAAATGACAAGTTATAACAGTAAATAATAACTATATGCTTTTCTTAAAGGGTGTGTTATTGTAACTGAACAACCGAATGTACCGCGATTATTATCATGGCGTCCATAATTTGTTAGATTTTGGTGCAGTTTTCGATTCCGTTTAATAATTAGTTGAATGCGAATACTATATGGTTTGAGTTGATAGTAAGAAGATCGCGGCTGCAGCAGTCAGTCTAGTTCAAATATCAGTATGTATGCGATTTCCACCAATTTCCCTTTTATAACCACAATTGGTGTTTATTAATGAGGATATAACAGATGTGACATAACTCGGTCTTTTTCTAGTCATCAGTTACTTAAAGCATGACGTAAGATACTGTTTTCTTCAGGAGAAAAAATTGATATGGTATCCAGTTTCAATTCTACAGTCATTTGAGTTGCTGTGCAATAGACCAGACATCATCTTTAAATACTTCAGGAAGCTCTACAATCTTTCAATTTGTTAAGTCCGTCACTGGATTCGTCTGTACTTGAAGATTAATGTTGTGGTAAAATATTAAAAATAACCTCAAGGAAATAACTAGTTCGAAATTATTAGTGACATATTGTAACACAAAACAAGAAATAATTGATGTGACTGGCACTAAGCAATGGCTCGGGTGCTGTATTCTCGTACATTCTAGCAGGAGGATTATGTGAAGCTATAATCCCTACAGATCTCTCGATCACAAGTGCCAGAACTATGAGTAAGTAAGAAAGAGAGCACTAGCATTGATGTTCACTATCAAAACATTTTATAAGACAACGTATTTCCGACCAAGTCAGAGCTCTGCCTTTAGATGTACATATCCGAAGTTACCCGCCAATCGTGTTTCGAGCTACACTAATCAAAGATGTATATAACAAGAATGAGACAATATACGACAAGCAAATGGAAAAATTATTTATTCTATCTAAATTGGATCAGTGGGTAGGATACTTAAGTGAAAGTAGAACCGGTATCCAAACACCTATTATCTCCAAGCAACTTGAATAATAAAGTGACTCAACCTCGACAACTGCAAAAACGATCTTCATACGTTGGTAGTACTTTTATTAGAGGAAGACACTGAATGTCCAACGATGAAACCGAGCCGATAGACACAAACAGTTTATCTGAGGCAACAGAGACACTATTATTTCGAACCAGAGGCACAAATCGACACTAGAATCTTAGAACAATCAATGGCGCATGAACACACTTTGGTCACTGATGGTAAACGAAGTCATAACGTTGGTTTATTGTATTATTGAATATATCCTTGGTTTATACAGTAAAAGTGTCGAAAAATGTAGTAAAATACAAACAGAATTAACGAACAGGGTAAGATTAGCACATTAAAACCTGAAAAAATCTTACAAATAAAAATGCTTTGTCAAAGAAATCATTACCTTGATGAACGGATTGTAGATGTCTGCAAAGAGCGCCATTCGAAGAGAATATTTTACTACATTCATCGCATGGAAAAGTTATACCTGTAGGAACAAGTACAAATGAAAACAGATCATCTCACATATTCTGAGTACTACATATGCCCAAAATTGACTAAAAACAAATTTTAAGTCAGATAATGAAACGATCATATGTATTGACTCAGAAACAAAAAAAACAGTTGACATATTCGATGAAAAAAAGAGCATTGGGACCTCAAAACCATCGGAAATCCTACTTAATATTCAGTGTTTTGCTGTGTATCTGAATCAGTTGAATAATGTAAATCAGACTAGAATTTTTATTTTAAAAAGTCATTATAGGGAAACTACTAAATGATATTTTAATCAATCATACCTTGATGAACAGCAGTAACATGCTTATTTAATGTACATCTTGTCATAAAATGAATTTTAGCCCCTTATTAAGTGCCTATATCTAAGGAGTTACGGAACTTGAATATGTGAACTAATCAGTGAAATCTGAGTGTTATACCTACATCCACAGCTACTCAAGCAAAACTTTCTGTGCGATAATATCAATCAAAGTTGCTTAATTATTTGTAGTAGAAGAGATATATAAAAAAAAAGATGATGTAAATAAAAAGTTCACATTCAATAATGATGTTATTAGAAGTTACATAACACAATTTCAAAGTAGACCGTCACTATCATCAATCATCATCATCATCATCATAACCTAACTTACCTTCGTGAGCAACTTTTATGTGATCATTTAATTTGGATTTAGATCCAAACCTTCTATCACACTGATTACAAGGATGTCTTATTCCTAATGAAAGAAAAACAATTAATCATATCACTAAATGTACCGATACATATTTAACACTAATGTTTAAATATTTGTATCAGTAATTTGCAACACAAATAATATAAACATACAAGAGAAATAATGAGTGAATGAACAACCGTTCGTGTAGTAGACTTAAAGCAACATACGTGCAATCGAGTTTGTTCACATTTAATTTGATTAAGCCCTTTTGTTAACTTATTTATAATGGACAATCATTCGTACAATAACAACTTATCTATATCATTGTACCGTTATTATTGTTGCGCTTGCATGAACATATATGCTTGAGCATTGCCTACCGCTTACGCACATATTCATTCTGCTAGTTTTAATGTTAGCCGCCTAATTGATTCGACAATTCACACATTTCCCTATGTATATATATGTACATTTTAATCCTATTCATTTTCACTCGCGCACTCGCTTGCTTTTTGGCATTAGCCTTTCATTCCTGTTTCGTGTGTCTGTGATTTTAGTGATCTGCGCGTCGTGCAATAAAAAATGCAATCAACACTTCGTACTCGTCTTCTAGTTTATACACCGTTAGGGATATTATCTAGTAAAGGTTACCAGGACGAATTGTTTAAGAAGTTTAGGGATCATATAGAATACCGACAACCACAGATTTCAAAACAATATGAACAAATATGTTTAAAGCCACGAACCTCAGCTTTTCGATCTCTCATTTCAGTATAAATACCCTACCACATGGTTGCAGTGACCAGTCTATCCCTGACAGAAAATACAAACAGATGGTTGGATGAAAACGTTTCTTTGCATTACCTCCCTATAAAGACTCATTAGCTGAGTGGATAACGCGATGGCGTTTGAAGCGAACTGTACTGGGTTCGAGTCCCGGAGTGAACACTAACTCTGGGATGCATGTACATCCAGCTGACGAGTCCAAAATAGGACGAGACTTCCGTCCTGAATTTCACTGCTAGCCATTATTAATGGCCCCCAAATGCCCTGGTATGGCCGACAGCGAGGAGAGTTCGCTCTCCCTCTCGAAATTCTCATATGACCACGTGTATACAGCCACTACCACGGAAGTCCTAATCACTGCCTTCTCGTGGCATTACTGTTGTTTACGAAATTGAAAGGACGAAAAGCGAATGTCCGGCACCTTAACCGGGTTGGTGGACATGGAGAGTTCATCTAGGGGAGTTGAAAAACCGTGATTCCAAACGAATGGTACACATGGGCTCCAGTATCCTGAAGGAACAAATGGCGTATGAACCAATCGTTGTTCACCGGCTACCATCGGACTGCATCTCCTTACGATGCTCTAATGCCTTGTGGATCAGACCTTTATGTTAAAGGCTCGGGGTGTGGCCCCCTAAGAAAAGCACCTGCGTTGGTCTGGGCACCCGGGCTGTATCACAGCCCACACGCAAATGATGAACTCTATATTTATGGAAACTACTTTTCTCGCTTCGAATAACAATCAAGTGATTCAAATTATTATCAATACTATTATTATTATTATTATTATCATTGTTATTATTATTATTTTTTACTACATCATTATTCACCCTCTTTTATTCCTACTCTGCCTATACTTTTTTTCGACTTATACAGCAGCTCGTCTATGATGGAAATTCGACTCTATCTAAACGTTCTCGAGTCACTGTCCGGTTGAAAATTGTATGCTTCCACCAAATACGAATACTGAAGCAGTTTTTATGAAACCGCATGCACCATTCAAACTCGCTGCCTTCAACGTTCGCACACTTATGCAGATTGAACAACAGATAGGGCTGGTTATGTCTTTGGAAAGTCTTAATATCGATGTTTCTTGTCTGTCCGAGACCCGTATTCAAGACTCTAGTGAAGTACTACAAATTCGATCTCCATCTGTCGCTTCAAAAAGCTTGTTTTACGTGCGCTTATCCGGGGACCCTGTGGCATCTTCGTCTGGTCTTGCTGGCGTTGGTGTCGCACTAAGCGCTAGAGCTGAGGCAGCACTAGTCGATTGGATCCCCATTAACAGTCGGTTATGTGCTGTTAGATTAGAAAGTTCCATCAAAGTGAGAAGAAATCGGCGTGAGAAACGATGTCTTTTCGTCATCTCCGCCTATGCCCCGACAGATTGCAGCCCGGATGCAATCAAGGATGAGTTTTACCACCAGTTATCTGTTCTTCTCCAGAAAGTGCGTTCGACAGATATTGTAGTACTAGCCGGAGACTTGAATGCTCAGGTCGGGCGTCTAGGCACAGAAGAGAGTCGTTTAGGTGGCCGATGGGGACTTGTTGGTCGCAGGTCAGATAACGGGGACCGTCTACTGCAACTGTGCACAGACCACAACCTGTTTCTGGCTAGCACTAACTTTCGGCACAGTCATCGCCGATGTGCCACCTGGCGTCCTCCCTCTGCATCTCAAGCCTGGACTCAGATTGATCACATCGCGATCAGCTACCGCTGGCGTGGTTGTGTACAAGACTGCCGCTCCTTTTGGAGTACCTATCTGGACTCTGACCATGCCTTGGTCTGCGCCAATCTTACCTTACTTTTCAGTGGACAACGAAGTGACCGCCACAAAAGGATTGATGTTAGCAAGCTGGTTGCAACTTCTGTTGCAAGTAAGTATCGAACCGAGCTAGCCTCTAGGCTAGCTACCACTCCACCGAAAAGTATAGATGAGCATTGGTTGCAATTGCATGACGCCATGAAAATGGCGGGTAAGTCAGTTGTGGGTTTGCGAAACGTCCCGCTTTAAGCACTGGGTTTCTTCTGGTTCCTTACAACTCATTGAAGCCCGTCGGTCTACTCCGGGTGACCGTGAGTTTGACCATAAACGAAGGATGTTACGTAAGGAAATTGGGCAAAGCTTGCGTAAGGACCGAGAAGCCTGGTGGTCGAAGCGTGCTAATGAGCTGGAAGCAGCAGCTGCATCTGGTAACTACCGGAAGCTCTTCCAACTCATCCGAGCCACTGGCAGCAAGAAGTCTGGTGTGAGTGAAACAATCTGCGAGGATGATGGGATGCCAATCACTAACATCCATCGACGTCTTGGACGATGGGCAGAATTTTTCGAAGGGCAGTTCAACTGGCCTGCTGCTCCGGCAACATCGGTCAGACTGTCCTGCCCTCCATGGCCGGTGACGACTGATCCACCAAATGAGGAGGAAGTCCGCAAGGAACTCCAACTCTTGAAGCGTTACAAATCACCTGGCCCAGATGACTTACCTCCGGCTCTTTTTAAAGATGGTGGTGACTTTTTGACTAAGGAATTGACGACGTTGTTTACAAAGGTTTGGGAACTAGAGAGTGTACCAACGTCATGGAATGAGTCGATAGTTGTCCCTATCTTTAAAAAGGGTTCACGTCGTTCCTGTAACAACTATCGGGGGATAAGTCTACTTCCGATTGCGTCCAAGCTATTGGCTTCCGTCATACTTCGTAGGTTGTTCAAAACCCGAGAAAGATTGACTCGCGAGGAGCAGGCTGGGTTTCGTTCTGGTCGAGGATGTATTGATCATATCTTCACCCTCCGCCAAATGTTAGAACACCGCCATACTTATCAAAGGCCAACAATCGTAGTGTTTCTTGACATCAGGGCTGCCTTCGATTCGTTGGACAGGACTGTTCTCTGGGATTGTCTATTGAAGAAGGGTGTGCCTGAGAAGTTTATTAACATCCTAAAAGCCCTATATAAAACACCTCAGGCAGAGTGAGGGCATACAACCACCTCTCTCCATTGTTCCATTCGAGCAGTGGGGTTAGGCAGGGTTGCCCAATCTCACCATTCCTCTTCAACTTTGCCATCGATGACATTCTGGAAACAGCTCTGATGAATGTAAGTAATGGTGGTGTGGATCTGTTGCCTGGAGAAAGACTTCTCGACCTTGAGTATGCGGACGATATTGTCTTACTGTGCGATAATGCCCAAGGCATGCAATCCGCACTTAATCAGTTGGCAATCAGTGTCCGTAGGTATGGTATGTGCTTTGCACCTTCGAAGTGCAAAGTACTTCTACAAGACTGGCAGGATTCTAATCCTGTACTCACCCTGGATGGTGAGCAGATAGACGTAGTTGAGAAGTTCGTGTATCTGGGTAGCTGCATAAGTGCTGGTGGGGGTGTGAGTGATGAGATCAATGCACGAATAGTGAAAGCCAGAGCGGCTTATGCCAATCTGGGCCACCTTTGGCGCCTTCGTGATGTTAGTCTGGCTGTAAAAGGTCGGATCTACAACGCGTCGGTGAGAGCAGTTTTGCTCTATGCTTGTGAAACCTGGCCTCTCCGAGTTGAGGACGTTAGACGACTCTCTGTGTTCGATCATCGCTGTCTCCGAAGGATTGCTGACATTCAGTGGCAACACCATGTCAGTAATGCAGAGGTTCGGCATCGTGTGTTCGGGCACAGAGATGATAATCAATTGGTGTCACCATCTTGAAACACCGACTTCGGTGGCTTGGACATGTTCTCCGAATGTCGTCCCAGAGAATTCCACGTCGTGCATTATTTGCCGACTCTGGGACTGGTTGGAAGAAGCGGAGAGGTGGTCAGTGCATGACATGGTGTCGTGGCATGAAAGAAAGCTGCAAAGGACTGGCTTGTGTTGGTCCTTCACGACTCCCTGGTTGGGGTCCGAGAGATGGTGCTACACAGTGGCTAGAGACGTTATCAGATATGGCTCAGAATAGAAGCCAGTGGCGATCCTGCTGTAACCTTCTTTTACTTTCTTCATAAAAAGTGGTTGTGTCTCCTTAACTGAAAGATTTCTTCTGATTGTACCTTTCCGTTTCCCTCATTATTATTATTATTATAACACTACTTTACACTAATCTGGTCACTATTGTTCTTTTTTTTCTTTCACGCTCCATACCTTTTTTTCTCTTCCCGTTCTCATTGTTTTGTGTGGCGCATATATATGTTGGTGTCATCTTGTACCAATATTTATGTATTCAAATAAATAAATAAATAAATAAATATGATAACATTTCTATGGAATCGGGTGAATATTGCCACCCTCACCCACCCACAAAACCACGAATTTAAAGTGAACGCACCATGTGTAGAACCATTGGAATTTCGATCCGTCCCTATAATTAGATAAAATATTACACCTAAGTAACAATTGCTTACACTGATTAATTAATGGTTTCTTGATATCGTCCTCTTATCTTAGTACTCATTTTCAATCGCATCATTTTACTTCAGTTTTATTCATCTAATCAGGCACACAAATCTGGTACAATTGAGTACAAAAAGTAGAATGTGCCCTACGAATACAGAGGTGGAGCTGTTAAGAAAAAAGAGTGAAAGTGAGTACTACTAAAGAGATTAGCCTCAACTATGACGCAATTACTAGCAGTCACATATCTACACAAGCTTCTTAATTACTTCTAATGGGTTACTGGAAATAGTGAGTGCAAGCATAGGTGTCTATGTCAGTCTTGTAGAAGCAATTTGGATTTGTAGGGTTCAAGATACATGCCGTACTAGTAGACATTAACTGTTAACTGATTGGGTGAGGTCTGCATAGTTTGTGTATTATCGCATCTCAAAACGATGTCATCCTTATACCCAAAGTCTAAGTAACAGATCTACATCACCACCACCTAATTCTATTAAAGCTGTTTGTAAAACATCATCAGTAGGAAAGTTAACAAGGAATGGTGAGATTGATCAGTCTTGTCTAACTCTACCATTGGAATAGGACGAAGAGTTACAGCGAATTTGTTTAAGTTAATCCATTTAGAATGATATACAATAAAACTTTATAGTAAAACAATATTATCAAGAACGTTACTCACCTTCATGAATAACTTTTTTGTGTACATATAAATCATATTTCGTAGAAAGCTTTTTGTTACATTGACTACATGGATATTTTATTCCTAAAGAAGAGCAAGATATATTTCTGTATAGTAACGGTTTACAACACATATACTTTAAATAAACATAACCATTTTGCAAGAAAAAAGGTTTGAGCGAGTAAATATTGATCATTGATGTATATGAGAAATTAGGTTCCCCATTGGCCGAGAGATAAACACAAACACACGACTGAGTAATAGACTGGGAAAACTGGATAAAGATAGATACACAGATACCTTACGCACCTTCAATCACATTCTATACCAGAAACCAACATCACATTATCAAGTTACGCAAGTACATAGACACGCATGAATTCGAGAAAACCAATCAGCTTGCGAGACGTGTTTTCAGTGAAATATTCCAACGAAACAGGTTACTACACCATAATGTTACATGACATGAAAAATTCAACCTTAAGTCCTATCGTTTTGCACACTCAAACCGGACTTGACTGTAATAAACCACAATGTACCCTGGTAAGTGCAACAAAGGAGAGCTTACTACTGCCTTCTCAGTCAATACCTGTAACCCCAAACTACAAAACATCAACTGGAACTACAAAGAACGGGTGCGAAATGTAACATTTTGATTTCAAGGTTGGAATATGTACAGAAAATTGAGGACACTTAGAGTTATGTGTGACCTTTGGTCTTTAGAAATTTCCAAAACACTCCCACAGTAACGTCCTACGTAAATATCCAGTTAAAAACAAGACAAACGATTTTTCATTTCTTAGATGTTTCTAAGCTTCTGTTTTACACTACTTGGAAATAACATTTCCCGGTTTTGTGACTGGAGACTTTGGCAAGAAATCTTTTGAGACTCTCAAATAAAACTATAATATAAACTTTCAAACACAGACAATGATAATGATGGATAAACAAACTGAATCACTTTAGAGCTTCCTGAAGCATTTAAAGATGGTCTAGTCTATTACACAACAACTCAAGCTATTTCAAAACAGGGTGTATAGGCATATTAAAATCCACAAAATACACGTAAATGTAATTGTGTGATTATAAAAAAAGACTATACCGTGATGAATTGATTTTATGTGTCTAGTTAGTTGGGATTTCGTAGTGAAGTTCCTGTCACATTCATCACATGAAAGATTAATACCTATGAGAATAACAACACAAAGATTTCTTAAAATATAATTAATCATTTAAGACAATAATACCAGTAAAAAATAAAAGGTTTTCGGGACCTCATATTATGTGAACAAATCAAAAGATGTTAAGAGGTATTCGTCAGCGACTAAATAGTCGAAAAAAAATTTTGTAGAGACTTATTGAGAAGGTATGTTGCACACAACATCATAATTACCACAATGCCCCCAAATGCCGTGGTATGGCCGACAGCGAGGAGAGTTCGCTCTCCCTCTCGAAATTCTCATATGGCCACGTGTATACAGCCACTACCACGGAAGTCCTACTCACTGTCTTCTCGCGCGAAGGGGTGTTGTTTACGAAATTGAAAGGACGAAAAGTGAGACTACGGCGCTTTATCTGGGTTGGTGGACATTGAGGGCGTACCTAGGGGAGTTGGGACGCCCTGATTCCAAACGAATGGTACACATGGGCTCCAGTATCCTGAAGGAACAAACGGCGTATGAACCAATCGTTGGTCACCGGCTACCATCGGACTGCATCTCCTTACGATGCTCTAATACCTTGTGGATCAGACCTTCATGTTAAAGGCTCGGGGTGTGGCCCCCTAAGAAAACCACTTGCTTCGGTTTGGGCACCCGGGCAGCATCACAGCCCTCATACAAATCTCATTTGATTTGTGTGGCGCATATGTACCTGGAGCCTCCTTGTACCAATATTTATGTGTTCAAATAAAATAAAACAAAAGATAATTACCACAATAACTCACCTTCATGAATAACTTTCTTGTGTTCAATCAAATGGAATTTACTTGAAAACTTTCTGTCACATTTAATACATGAATATTTTATTCCTAATGAGAAAAGAAACAATAATTAAGACTATGAAATTTCGCAAGCCAATCATGACTGAGTTAACATTAGAGATCTGTTATCACTTGTGTGAACTGGGATACTATCTGGACGCCAAAACTAAAATAAGTGATTTTGTTAGGTTGATTACTATCGGGACATATGACCTAAAGATCTAATTCACGTTAAGACATCCAGTTCCCAGGGTAGCCAGTGATCAGAATCGATTTGTACACCATACATTTATTAAGGAAACCAGAGTTCATAGTACAGCATTCCTTTCAAATCAATTTTTCAACTGCTCCACGTCGACCCTCAGTATCCACAGACCCGGTTAGAACATTGGACGTTCGCTTTCCGTTTTCTCATAAAAGCATCCAAACCATATGCTTTTAGTCTGCAGAAAAAGTTTAGGTGGTTAAATTACAATCACAGAGGAATCGAACTGCATAATAAACTGATTTTCTGATACGAGGTCCCTATTTGTTAACTGATTTCTAAACCGGACTGTTTTATTGTAATCTATGTGTATCTATAAGTTGTGCAACATCAAAAAAAGGTCGGTTGTTTATCTATTACATCGAAATTTACTGATATTAGTACTTGATAAAATGAGTGCGTGTTTTTCATTCAGTCGCTAAATGACGTTTCCCAACCATTGGATCAGATAAACAGAATCAATCAATATCAAATCACTGAGACTTCTAATTATTCGACTTTTTATGTAGAAAGTACCCCAAGTCGCGATATGCCAAAAACAAAATAGCAACTGTAGTATGTAGAGTGAACTAATGACCATTTATTTCATTGAGATCGTGATAGCTTGGTTTTTATTATTTTCCGTGTCCATGACCATGAACCCCGACCACCCACCCCTCCGAAAAAGAAGGAAATCAAGATACAACACCCACTACCGCCAACTCATTTAAAAAATTTTAATGTCCTTTTGAGACACATATTGTATCTTACTGTTTACTATAGAGAAAATAGCATTTGGTTTAAATCTTCAAAAGAATGTGAGGTACAATGATGTAGATGCACTGTTTTTTTATAAGGAAAATTTGTTTATTTATTGAAAATAATACAAAATGAACACTGTGGAAAAATGGGTATTAAAATGAAAACAGACAGGTGGAAACAAATGCAATTTATTCTAAGCATACAATCTAGTGTGATACCATCTATCATTGCAAGGTTCGGTTAAAAAAAAACCAAAACCTGACTTTTAAAGAAAGAAGTATGAATCAACAACATTTAGTCTGTGGCAACATTGAAGCAACAAATGATCACAACCTATTAAGTGTAAAAAGCAAACAAATAACAAGAAATGTGTTATCTACTTTTGTGAATGCTTTTAATGTGACGGTCCCGTCCAGTAATTGTTGAAGACGTTTTGTTGCAAAAACCACACGACAGTTTCACTCCTATAAATATTAAGAATTAATTTAGGAAATCCACTGTAAGAACAATGGGTGATTTGAAAGAACGGTAAAAAGAGAATCTCCTACAATAAAGATTACTATCAAGGTGAATTACCAAACTATTTTTTGACGTGTATTAGAGATTAATAAAATACACATAAAAATAAATACGTATCTTAATGAGCATATCAGTTGTCATAGTTTACAACTAGAATGAACTCTGTAAACTTTCTACATTACATCAGATTCAGTAATCAACAATTCACACATTAACAGTTCTATTTAGTAATGAACACTGTAAATTCAATGTGAAGAATATTTTCAAAGGATGAACAAACTACAATTTAGTTAGTGTGTTTCTTTCAAGATTATACCTACCCTTTTCAGAATCTTGTACTGATGAAATTTGATGTCGCTTAACAGTTGTACCACCATTAATACGGTTATGAGCATTAACAATGTGACCATCATTAGAGTTATATTTATCTATAAAAGTGGATCATACAATATTATATTCATGTTACTAAAGAATTTAATAACGTAATAATCAGATTTGCAAAATTCATTTGAGGAAAAAGGTAAACAAAAATAAATCTATCCATGATGTGAATCATTAAAACCATAGATGATGAAACTAATATACATATACCAACAGAAGGGATGCAGAAAGCTTCTAAATACAGTTCAGTCAATATATTTATCTAACATACGGATCATTAAGACTGTTGTAAAAATTAAAGTCAAGATAAATCTACTGATAGATTCATTTTTCATTGGATATAACTTAACAAAGATTTTGAATGACCAACATTGAATACATTTAGAATAATACTTTAATGATACAGGTAAACAGTTAAAATACCTTAGTAAAATAGTTTTAAGATCAAATCTTTTCAGAGGATTGTTAGAAAAATTAGTAAAGTATTATATTTATATTTGATTGATCGGAGCAGCTTTACACCATATTCCCAAAGTGAACAGAATGGAAGAAATGAGCGAAATTGTTTTAGTCGTCCAAAAGTTATGGTCAAAGCTGTCTTCACGAAATTCATGGTCTCGGGTATTTCCGTAGGATTTTGACACAGTTAATTTCTGTAAGAATTTTTAGATCATATTTCTTAATTAACCTTTGAATCGCTGGATAGATTTCGCTCATTCTTGAATTGCTGAATTGCAAATATTGTTGTTTCTAAACCAATTTTTCATCTATCCAGAACTCATAATCAATCGAGCAGCAGTGTACAATCTTAAATTATTCAAACCCCTAAAACATGTATAAGTATCTTGATAATAATTATATATAATTCAACAAATTATTGAAAGTAATAAACTGTAGTAAAACTTACGTTTAAAACTATCCTCCAAATACAACGATTGATTATCTCGTAAAATTCCCAACTTATTATCTATTAGGCTGTCATCCATAATGTTATCATAATTACATTCTTCCGCTAAAAACAAATATATCTATAAGAATGCAGAATATATAGTCAAACGATAGATAATATAGTCAATAACGTAACTGTTATCTAAAATTGAAGATGGATTTATTACTAATAATGAGCGGTCACTGAACGGTGCGTAGCTAATAACATGTTTTTCTCGTCTGTTAAGAATGATCATCTTTACAATGTATCTACTAGCTTTAATCCCGACTTGCAAGTTCACTATGTTCTGATGTTAGTTGATTGCACGAAATCGTTAAGAAACCATGAATCAGACTTTTGTGTGAATTGCCACTCGACATCCGTAAGATTTACCTGCACATTCTTGGTGGGACTGATGTTTCCTGTTGGACTCCAGTCCAGGTCGATCAGTGTCACAGTGACAGATACCATTACTACTGAGCCATTCTAGTCGCAACTAAGGAGCATCATATAGCACGAGACTCAAGCCTAGGTTCCTTGGCGATTCGCTTTAATCACTTAATATTAGGATTTACAATGCATTCACACTTACGCCATATACAATGTGTTATTCCCTACCTCACTTATTTCAACCCACTCCTTTTTTAGTATTTTCCTAATATTCATGCAACTATTCCTACCCTTTTATCTCCGAGTTGAGGTTCACATTAAAAGTGTCAGACATAATAGAATATTTTGTCGACCTAGCACAAACATGTATTAGGTCACTTCACAGAATTACACTAGCTTACTGTGATAAAGTTAATGAGATAAACGGTAAATGAGATGGCTGTATTGTTGATCACAATATAACAAGTAAAAATGTGTGGGTGACGTTCAAATACCCACAAAACAATAAGATAACAATAATAATTCTGATATGTGGTATTGAAAGTAAAATATGACAGGACAAACAGGCACTTAGCCTACTGACTATTCAATATGATTTTCTTTCCTCTAACTGAATTATACTCCAGAATCATTGAGAGTGACTCCTTGGATGAAGTATTATCTAGTGTTAATCTGACACTATTCTAGGTTGCGAATACTGGATGTAATATAACGTGACTAGTTTTATTGTCGTATTAAGGTATTATCGTAGCATACTTGACAAAATATTCCAAACCAACTGTGATATTGAATTCATATGAAGGTATCTAAAAGATATTTGCTGTTCGATGTCATCAATTGTTCACATGACTAATGGAAAAACTTAAGATACCTTAAGAAACAAACTTAACAAAAAACGTAAAATTAAGAGAGAGAAGGTAGAAATAGATTAATGGACCGAATACATAGCATTTAAAATTACTTTTCAAGTCAGTGACTGGGCCTAGTTCAAGTTAGTTTTAAATAGGACGACCTATTTTATTTATTTATTTGTTTTAACACAAAAATTGGTACAAGGAGGCACCGAACACATATGCGCTATACAAGTCACTTGATTTGTGTGTGGGCTATTATACAGCCCGGGTTCCCAAACCGAAGCAAGTGGTTTTCTTAGGGGACCACACCCGGAGCCTTCGATCTGAAGGTCTGATCAACAAGGCATTAGAGCATCGTAAGGAGATGCAGTCCGATGGTAGCCGGTGACCAACGATTGGTTCATACGCCATTTGTTCCTTCAGGATACTGGAGCCCATGTGTACCATTCGTTTGGAATCACGGTTTTTCAACTCCCCTAGATGAACTCTCCATGTCCACCAACCCGGTTAAGGTGCCGGACATTCGCTTTTCGTCCTTTCAATTTCGTAAACAACAGTAATGCCACGAGAAGGCAGTGATTAGGACTTCCGTGGTAGTGCTGTATACACGTGGCCATATGAGAATTTCGAGAGGGAGAGCGGACTCTCCCCATTATCGGCCGTACCAGGGCATTGGGGGCAGAGCGAGCTGTGTATGGATTATAAGGCCTCCTTTAAATTTACTGACGCAAGTACTTATCAACGAGTCGCTATATACTTTGATAGTTTTTTTCTAATTCAACAAACTTGTATAAAGCTGTTGACGTTAAAAGTAAGTTATTGTTACTGACGTTGACTCATTCATTTGGCACAATGAGGTTGAACAGTGACCGGTGATGTTAGTAGTTATAAGTTAATGGACTTTTCGGATATGAACAGACTGACATAAAAGTGAATCATGACTTTTGAGAAAGCCTACGGATGACGGATCATGTAACACAAATTACGTCTGATTACATAACAAGCATCAGTATATTTCTCTCAAACATTTTCTATATATACGTATGTTTCTTATAACGTGTTGATGGGTAAATCCGTTGCACTAGTATAAACGTAACCACCCACCTTTTATGTAGTTTCCAACTCCAATGTTTAAATCATTTGATATGAATTCATTTGATGATTTGCAGATCACACCATCCAACCCCATTGGTTGTTCAACCTTACAAGTAATTCCAAAACAGAAGTCAGATACAGGTATTTCCATTTTACTTCAATGCTCAGACATTGGAAAATTTATAGCAACTGAAACAAGTGACAAGAAATCTTTCAAAAAGATCCAAGTACCAGAAAGTAAATCAAATTCCTAATAAAACACCTATATTTTAGAATACATCAATACAAATAAGAACCAAAATAAATATACACCGCACAAGTAATACAATGAAATTGTGAACAGATGGTATTAGCATGACTGAGAATTCACCAAATTATGTTTCAAATAGGATCACATTTCAGTGCATCAGTTGATCCATTTTCAGTCACTACTAGCGGACAAGCTGCAAAAAACCACAGAACTTTTCAATATAAAACTTAGATATATAATTTAGTCAGCCACAAAGTCGAACCTGGTACGTATGTACACAGGTTTAAGTTGCTATACCCATATATAAGAATATATTTTCTAATTATATTGACCACTTACTGTTTACTGTGGAATGTATTTAGGTTTCTTTTCATTTTTGATCTGGGAACTAGTCGAGTGTAGTGAAGCGTTCAAAAAGATTAGTCACTAGGACGGATGAGACAACGGACGGATAAACAAATAATCAGAAAAGTAAACGAGAATGGATTATAATAGAAGATAGTTATGACAAAAATACAACTAAGTAGAATTCTTTCAGTTAAAGGAAATCTTTTCATTTTCACGAAAGATGTAGGAAAAACTACAGCAGGACCACCACTGACTTCAACTCTGAGCCACACTTGATAACGTCTCAAGCCAGAGCTACGCCACTTTGAAGACCCCAACCAAAAAGTGATGAAACGACAAAGCCACCCCTGCACAGCCCTTTAATACCACGGTAAAATTTTATAAAACTGGGTTCGTTGTAGTTACATATTCCATGATGACTACAATTAATTGTTCGCATACCGTTGGCAACAATAAGGGAAACTACCCAGAACAAATTTCACGATAGTACTAGCAGGATGACTAACATACTGGACTCACTTTTATCCCCATAAGCACTGGTAAGTTCATTAATCCTGACAAATTCAAGCTTCACAGAACCAACTCAAAGAAGACGATAACTTAACAGTTGACACATATTTTCAGTAACCGTTACACTAACAATGATTTTAAATGAGGATAATTTTACTTTACAGGCCGAGTCGATAGGTTGGTTTCATTTTGTCCATAGACTCATGTGGTTATTATATGGGTCCGGTGGTGTGATATCATATAAAGAGGTGAGACTATAGTTTATGGACAAACCAACCAAATTTAATAATATTATTATTTATTTACAACAAAATTTAAAATAGGTCTGGCGTCTCGAATGAAATTCATCCATATAGCTAAATAGCATCTTGGAATTATATTTGATATCAGCTTGTGGTGAAAACCTCAACTCAAATTCCTAACCCTAATGTTCAACTCCAAGTCGTAATTTTAATTCTTCAGACTAATTTATAACCCTCATTTAATTTTGGAAGTAAGCATTATTAAGGCTACACAAAATTCGCTCAAAGGTTGTTCATAAATCATAGTCTCACCCACTTTTTAAGGTAGTGCGAACGTTATCCACATTCTCCAGGAATGTTACATAGAATAATGCTTTGAATAGTACATGCTGTCCTTTTTATACAATACGACTACGTAATTGGTACATACTGAACTCAAATCCGGTTTCTGATAAATTCTTAATAGCTACCAATGCGATTGTTAATGTATTGCCGACAAGTTATGGTAGAAAGTCGTTATATATATATATATATATATATATATATATATATATATATATATATACTGAGGCCGTGCAAGACAAACATTGCCAACCCCCATAAAATATAAGTCGTATCATGAAGATAAAGACAATAAGGCGACAGTATCAATCGCAAGATCACAATTTAGATACGAATCAGTCACTACTGTGATAGCAAGTCTTGGATTTTAGCAAATAATCCGAATTCCTTGGTTTAATGATCATTTAACCGTATAGCTACAGAATGTCCGTTTTGGCACTATATCTAATGTAGGTACACGATGTAAACCTCAACTCCGGTTCGTAACCTGATTTTTAACTATAACTCCTAATTGCTCACATCAATTTGCATCCCTATTACGACTTTATAGAGACACTTAAGTGACAGCAACTACTACATTTAGTGGCTGGGGTTTTTCAACGCCACCTCGAAATATGTTAAAAATAATCTATGAAACTCACCACGGTACTAAAACGACTTGACAGGCACTGTTAGAAATGCCAGCGAGGCAATTCAAATTGGTTAGACGCACTGACTAACGACCTCCAATGATAAAGTTAAGCATACCGCTGACAAGCCAGTATACTAAACTGACTACCTTCTCATCTAATACAATAAAACGTTTTTTAAAAGCTTGTACAAACCATCTAATTATACGCCCCCGCTATTTGTTTTTTTTGGCATGGCTCCATGCATTTGGTTATATTCAATCGGTGGCAGTCCGGGAAGTAGACTAAACTAGTTGTTGTGAGTCCGGTAGTTATTCGTGGATTGTAGTCTAAGTTATTACGTTTTTCTCAGGGAATTAGGTCTTCTGGATACCATCGTCCATCGCATTGTAATTCAGGAGGTTGTTTGGTTGCAGTTTGAAATTAATAAAGCGATAATTCATATGCTAAGGGAGGATGATTGATTTAAGAATAAATAATCACTTGGATTATAGTGTGTAAGAAGACGGAATCGAAATGGTAAGGGGGAAATGGAGATGATAATAAGGGGGATGAGAAGCCGTTACTGGTTATGCTGTGATGATAACCGTGGTAATTAACGTGAAATGCATCATAGGCAGCTGGTTTGAGAGGGTGATGGGTGAGCATGCTTGTCAGATCTATTGAGCTTTTGTCACCAGTTGACATCATTTATAATGCGAAAAGATCATGGCTAGTTATTAAGCGTTCAGCTGGAGTTTTCAGTCAGGTTTGTGAATCGGGGTTACGATTTTCATCACGAGATGGCATCAGATATAAGCCAGTTCTTTGCTAACTTTGGCTTTCAAGCTTGAGAAACTTAGTGTTGAATTTTAGTGTGAGGGTAAGAAATTGTGAATTTTACCTGACTTCACTCATGGCTGCTCATTGAATAATACGGATTACTTTATCGCTCAATCGGTACGTTTTGCAGCTTAGCTAGAGCAGCATTTTAAATTAACTTTTTGGTCGTACAATAAATATTTTTATCTTTTTAAAACATTTCAAAATCAGTTATTCCCAATTATCCCTTAATTAACAGTAACATATAAGCTATCTACCAGTGTAGCCGTTTACATCAATCCAAAATATACGTTGTGCACTAGGATACTATGAAGAGTAGAGTGAAAAGAAAGAGATGGAAAACCAAACATGAGGAAAAGTGAACCGATGTCTGTTACAGAAGTGAAAACATTTGACTGATTGGAAACTGTTATATTGAATATTAGTAATGTCACTGTAATTTTGAGTATATTTGTTTCATTCAACTTTTGAACATGCTTGCTCTGATCTCTGATCTCAGACATTTTGGTTTCACTTTGCCTTTGGTTTGGTATTTGGGAATTTTTGCTCAGAGAACCTAGAAATTTGAGGGTTTGTTTTGTAATTGTTATAATTATTATTAAAAAGACATCTGAGTCGACTAGTTGTAATTTGCGAATAAACTTTGTTGCCTAAATTAGAATTTGGTTTTATTGTGCCATGCTTCAGTAATGGAAGAGAGCAAAAGCTTGACTACAACGTTGACCCTTTAAGCAAGCAAAATTGACTAACGAAAATTAAGGAAAGCAGCAGACAATTATCAGTAACAGCCTAAGACTTAGGTGAACTCAGTAAATGGAGATTGGATGACGGTAGTTTAAAATGTAGTGTCTAGTGATTATACATACTTACATGACTCACCCTAGCCTCTGAATAGACAGTGATAACTCAGACAGCATATAACTATCGGATAACAACTCTATTGTTTTCATGAAAAATCGTGATCTTCAACACACGTCTTATTTTTATGTCCTAGTTTTCCTAGGCTTATTTGCCTTTTGTTTACTTGTTTATATTGTAGTGACTTTTATCACGAGTACACGATTGGTATAATATAAACAATTATCATTATAACCAACTGTACCAGTGCTTGTTTTAATGTGCTTTTGTTTAACTATGCTAATTACAGCCATTTTGTGCTTCCATTACCTTCCGTCATTGTTTCGCGGTTTTAGGCTTTGTTCGCAAGTACTCCGTTCTCCTGCTTTCGCTTGTACCATCTCTCGGCACGATCTTGGTATTCATACGATACCACGAGATCGCCAATTGAATAAACTTGATTCTAATCCGCCTTCTGATTTCTTTGGCACGTGTTTTCTTGGTAGCGGTGTTCATAGTCAACTGGGACTCGACTCCACGCTACAATATCTATCACCTCTTATTTCATCCAATGCCTGTCTCTTTGTCACATTATTCACCATCAATTTAGAACTATACTAAGGCTTTTAATGAGTAGTAATGTGAGTTAGTATTTTGTCTTTCCTGGTCTGTTTCCTTTCTCATGTCGTCTTTCTGAGACGAGCGTATGAAACATACATATTCGAAATTCATGTTCATATTTAACAATTTTATCCCGTTATTCTCTAAAGTAAACGAAGTCGATAACTGTATACTAGGGTAGCCAGCATGTACATTCTGTTGACATCATCGTTCGATCAAACCGGAGTCAGATCAGTGGGTCACAAAAATCCACCACACTTTGAAGTACTTTATGTAAGGTCCGTTTTTGTAGGATCCTACTTTTTCTTACAAATATTCTGTTTAATTCCTGTTGTGCGTGCATTTTTTAGTCGTTATCTGTACTTTTTGTATATCTGTTACCATTTCCTAGATTACTTGCAGTTGTCATTACCAAATTCTTCAGGAATTCTGAATTCTAACAGTTGATTTGATGTTGCTGAATATTTTAATGACTTTTATCCTGGTTTTCTGTAACGTTGTCTTTATGGCGCTTGTCACATTGGGAGGCCATACTTTGGTTGACATTTTA